CATTAATTTATCTTTCTAAAATAGAGATTAACTGTCATTCATTATGATATATTAAATAATCTCAGTATTTTCTGCTAGATTCAGGTGGAACTTGTGTATTCTGTCTCTGGCTTCACGTTTTTCTGTTTTATCCTCAGTTACATTGACACAAAGGCATCTGCTGTGATGCTTATTCCAAGTGTCAGTACTGATAAATAATCAGAATTATAATATTTCTGACTGTCTGAGTCAAAACTGAATCAAATTGAATCGGGACCTTGTGAATCAGAATCGAATTGATTATAGAAATCAGTGACGATACCCAGTCCTAATCTGGGGTTTACAACAATAGAAATACACTTATTTGTGTCTTGGTAGTAGGAATGGTGCCAAAACCATTCCTGTGGACAAGGAAATACAGAAGATTTATACAGTGTAAAAATCCTAATAATGAAGCGTGACATGCAGTCAGGCCTGCAAAGTATTGCAATATCAGCCAAACAGTACAATGCTGCATGTGTGGTAATAAGCTGAACATAAACCATTTTCGGATACAAGCAGACAGAAAACAGATTCCACACTTCTCCAAAACGAGAGTTAGTCTTTCTTTTGTATCACATCCCATTAAATTTACACAAGGCATCAGGACAGACAGTCATGAGGTGACTAAAGCAATAAGTCTGGAGCAATAATGTGTTATGACCTTCTTTCAATGTTTCAGCCTAACACTTATACATTATGATGTGCAGAGTTGTAGCCCTGATAAAATATTCACTCGGGGCATCCGACAGCAGGAGAAGGTCCTGGTTAATTTAGAACATGCTGGCTGATGACTTGTGTGTAAACTAATCCTGAAATACTTCAGGGAGCAGGTAAAGAATTTGGCTCCCTGTTTGATGAGCAATCCCTTATAGCAATATAGGGGTGAGGAGCAGGGCTGCTCCTTGCTCCTGGTCAAGGGTTACCATGGGGACGGAGAAGAGGGTTAAAAGGGACGATGAAGGGGCGTCTGTCTCGGTTCACGGTGTCCTGATTGTTTTTGATTGAAGGAAAACCGAGAAGATAAGCTGCCACTGTGGTGATACTGTGCCTGTGTCCATTTCAACAATAAGCCTGGTCACTTTTTCTTATTCTTAAAAAGAATAACAAACATAAAAAACAACGTTGAATTTGTCATAATAATAGATGTTTGTTTGCTAAATCTCATATTTAGCTCATAAAGCTCCACTGCTATGTGCTGTCATGTTTCTTAATTGCAAACTTATTTTATTTTTTTAAACAAGTGTTCTTCAGTATCATAATAGCATTGACTTATACTAACCTTTAGATAGTAGCTCTTGTACTTGTTTCACACATCACATCCTAATGACTCTGGGGTCATAGACTGTAGATAAAGATGGGAGACACTGTGACGTCACGTGTTTGTTAATGAAAACCCTTTGTGAAGCCTAAAGCCACAACACTACAGGCTTACAGTCTAATGACAATCGCATGCAGCTAGCTATGGAGCAACACTAACAGTGATTATGATTTACAAAATGAACTTCACTTTCAAAACTAGAGGATGAGCCCATGAACTCAGCCACAAAGTGTTTACTGAGATCATCCTGGATGTATAGACCTCTATCCGGTGTTGCTTTGTTTTTATTTGGGGGGTTGGCCATTAAAGGAACATAGTTTTGATGGACTTCTTCTTTGCCTTCACTTTTCAGACCGAGCGGCCTGTGTTTTATACATCTATATCATTTCAAATCATAGATGGTATGGAACAGTTGGACATAGTGAAAGTGGCATCAACAACATTTGTTGTTTACTTCTATTCTGAAGCCTTCATTTTAGCTTAATGGCCAAAAGTGAACATATTTCACCCAAAGCTAGCTAAACCTGGTTGGCAAATTGCATCCATAGACTATATGGGTGCAGTTGTTATTCAAAGAATGCCATATATTATACATTACTTTTTTTAAAAGCGTTATTTAATTATTCGCTGGTGAAAGTAATTTGTTACTCTACTGCAGGGGTGCCCAATCCCGGTCCTCGAGAGCTACTATCCTGCAGCTTTTAGATGCATCCCTACTCCAACACAGCTGAATCAAATGGTTTGATCTCTTCAGCATGCCATCATGTTTGGCAAAGGCCTGATAACAAGCCATTCATTTGATTCAGGTGTGTGGGAACAAGGATGCATCTAAAAGCTGCAGGACGGTAGCTCTCGAGGACCGGGATTGGGCACCCCTGCTCTACTGGCATAATTACTAGTTAACAATACAAACCTAAGGCAAAGTAGGGGCAGCCACCTGCTGCAACTGGTTGGAGATGAGGGGAGGAAGACCAAACAACAGTCTACAGTCTCAATCCCTGTTCTAATCAGAAACACGAATATGATCTATTTTTTAGTGTTTAAGTTTGAATACAAAGCTGAAAACACAAAGCAAAATTGAAAATAATCTTAAAGAGACGATTTCTCCTGTTATTGGCAGAAACATGACTTCATAAGACCAGGCTCTGGCTGCTGGGCTGGGGTCAGCATATACTTATCTTTCTGCTAGCTTTGTACTAGCATGCTGTCTGTGCAGATGTTTGCATGAACCCCATCCACGCACACGTGCAGTAGGATAAAGGGCATGTTTGCTGTTTTAGTTCCATCCTGCCATCATGATGAAGAACTTGTATATCACAAGTAACATCATAACTGTAACTGTAATGTGATTACTGAATTTGTATTTGAAATGCTCCAAAAGGCACCAACACCACAAACATGACTGAGAGGTCTAGGACCAAGGTCAGCGACTCCAATTATCTGAGGTCAGAGCTAGCCAATTGTCTCAGGAGCTAGCTGTCAGCTGGAGACCACAAAAATGCACAACATTAAGGATGAAAACAATATAAATGTTTACAGAGCTCACTCATTTATTAGCCATGAAGGATATAAGTAGCTACAGAGACTAAAACATTTTTATTGTGCAAGGCTCTAAACTTAGCTCTGCTGTAAACCTAGATATTTTAACATGAAAATCATGGGCACTGACTCGCTTTTCAAGCCAGCCTCTAGAGGCCATTCAAGCAGCAGTTTTCACTCTTCTACACTGGTCTAATTTTTCAGCCCAAGAGGCTGTCGCTTAATGACTATCTGTTGACTTTGAACAATAAGCATTAATCAATAATTAATCAGTAAGAATGTGCCGGACATGGATTCATTTAACCTTATTTCTAAAAATGCTCAGAAGAGAAAACAGAGTCTAACGCTGTTACAGCAAAGTTGTGCTATTAGCCTGTGGAGCTAGGCTTTGTTTTCTGTAATGAGAATTCATACCACCCACTGCAACAGTGTGGTTTAGTAACATGTTTAAACAGAGAGATTACTGGAGCTCTTTGGCAAAAGATTATTAAGCTACATCAGGTTTTGGACAGTGAGTCAGACAATACAGGCTTGTTGTTTTAAGAATTAATAAAGAAAATAGAGAAAATCACCAGCCTTGTTCTTGAAAAACGAACTGGAGCTCTGAACAAATCGAGATAACGGGCTCCTGGGCACTGAAATGTAGGCCACCCACCTCTCTTTACACAGAAGCTAAGCAGGAAAAAAAATATCTTTTTGTAATCATTCTGAATCCCCTTGTGCCTATTTTGCATCTCTCTGTAGTCATTTTGTGTCTCTTTGTAGTCATTTTGCATCCCTTTGAAAGTTGCTTGACTTTCCTACAGGAAACATTCAGAGCTTTTTAACTGGTTCAGGTGGCTCCTGGGCATGTGGCCAGTGGGCTTTTTCAGTAATCCACCCATGGCTCAGACAACCAAAGCTCTTTTTTTCAAACCAAAGATTTAAGCTCCCATTTCATTGCGGACACTGGTTTATATAAGTGACAAATGCAGTCACTGAAAAGACTCTAACAACACAATCCCCCACACATAAACCCCTCTGCTGGCCATCATTTCAACCACAATAACACCCCCCACACCACTGGCTTTATGAGACTTTGTCATAAAGCCATGTTGTTTTGCAAGGGCAGCTGAGCTCACTCCTTTTTCTTTTTTTTTTTTTAAACGTTGCGCTGTCATGACAGCAGCTAACAATCCAGCTGCCGTGTGAAGTGTGAGATAAATGCTCTGCTCACGCTGCAGCCTTGTCCAGAAGAGCGGAGAGGAAGAAAGATACTTGTAGCGATCAAGCCTGAATGGTTCTCTCCATCTGTGTAATTGGTTGAAATGAGCTATGAGGACCACCTGCTGACTGTCATTCAGAGCTCTTTTACATGGAAACTGTGCCCAGTGTCAGAGAAAGAGGCACACAGGGAACGTTACCATCAGCCCTGCTCTGTAAAATTCCTCGGAGGAAATTAACTCCTGTGCATTACGAGATCGATTATATTGTGGTTGGATTATCTTGGCTCTTACTTTATGTAACTAAATATCCACAGCGAATGTTTAAACTGCATTCGACTGAGATAACGGCTATTTAGATAAGTGCAAATTTAAAATTAAAGCGATTGTTATGTTGTGCAGCTTCTTTGCAGCATAGCCAGTTTAAAACAGCACCAGTCAACATTTAAGATAAGCTGTAATAAATTTACATAAATTGTAATAACTTTCCCAAGAGTTGGCGAAAACCAAAACCTCGCTTTAAAGCAACATGCCCAAACACCAGCTCATCCCTCAGTGTTTGACTATGCAGCACCATATTTTCCACTAAAAAAGACCCACAGTAAGTAAAGTAAAACTTTAATTTATAGCATTTTTTTTAAAAACACGACAACAAATAGTTACCCAAAAGCAAGTTTAAAAAGGCGAGTAGTTTTCAGCTGCTTATTGAAGATCTCAGGCTCAGAGGGAGAAAGCTCCAGAGTCTGGGGAGCACACTGATGCAAAACGTTCCCACAGCCAGCAGAGCCTGATCACATGACCCCAGAGACCTGCTGGGGATGTATGGATGTAAAAGTTCACTGATGATCGCTGGTGCTCATCCATGCAGAGACAAAATCAGAATCATACAGCAGATCCTGTAGTTAATAACAAGCCACTGCAACTGAATTACCAACTTTAATACACATCTTTACTGCTTCTATAGGAATTAAGAGGGTCAGTAGCAGCCAGGTGTTAATAATTGAGATCATTTTCTTAACTGATCATCAGCAAGTGTGAGCGCCTCTATAAAAGGAGAAGTCTTGGCAGTTTGCTGATCTGGAGTATTCAGACCAATGTGTTTGGGGAAAAAAAACCCGGGCACCTTGCAGACTCGATCATTAACTCCTCTGCATATCAAAATAATACAGTGTGAGGCTGTCGGTCAGACATCTAAACTGTGGCTGAAAGTGGGTCATAGAACAGGACAATGATCCCAAACACAGCACGAATCTACAACAGAATGGCTTAAAAGTAAAAGAATAAAAAGTGCTGCGGTCCATACCTCAACGTGACTGAAATGCTGTGGTGAGAAATGAACAAAGTTGTGTGTAAATAAAAGCCTGCAAACCTCAACGAACTGAAGCAACGTTGTAAAAAGCAAAAGAAAAAAAAGAAAAGGAAAAAAAGAGCCGGCCAAAATTCCTCCACAAAGATGCGGGAAACTGATAAAGCCAAACAGAAAACAATTCAAGTTATTACTGCTAACGGTGCTTCTACCAGCTACTAAATCATGAGGTGTACTTTAGTTCATTCACAGGACTGTAAAAAAATCCCTATGAACACTCCATTTTTTCACAAGGACTGTATTACTCATTTCTTATGCATATTCTGAAGGACAGAGTGCAGCCTTGTGTGAACCCGTGTTAATGTAAATGATATTAAACATGCTCCAAATTCACAAACCGTTCCCACTTTTACACCTTCATTTTCTCCTCTTAACACATTCAAGCTGTTATGTTTAAACTCGACTGCTACGCTCCTATTTATATTCCTATTTATTGTGCTGCATCTTATCATTACTGCAATCACTTATGTTCCACTTCTGGAGGTCACAAGCTTAATAAGTAAACCAGGGCAAGAAAATGAAAGATCGGCTGGGGTCTGGATTCATTAAAGGAAAATTCATTCAACAATCAACGGTAACAGCCTCAATAGGGCTTAATTAGTGCAGATGAAATTTTGGGTTTGTAATTAGTGCGTATTAAGCAAGGGTTGATTTGTTGCGCGGGAGAAAAAAAAAAGCACATTACATAAGTAAACTGCTGTTTTGTTAGCTTCCTTCTACTTCTACTGTGATTGTTTGAATACAAGATATCAATATCTATACAGCAGTTTTCCAGGGAAATGAGGGCAACAGCCATTGAATTCATTTCCTATTTTTACCAACTAACCAGGGGAATTGACTTTACAACCTTCTCTTCAATAGTTTGTCTGCTGCCATCCCATTAAGCCTCAAAATAAACCTAGGCTGAAGGTCATTGCTTGTTTTGGCTTTCACCCATCTTTTCATCTTTTTTCAGCCCCTTTTATGTCTTTGGGCCTTTAGTATTTATGCCCACCAACTGACGACAGCAAATCCTTCGGCCCACTCGTTCATAACGCTGGATGCAGTTAAGGTAATCCACAATGTAAATAAAATCCTCATTACTGTTACATAAATCTGTCACAGTCTCCTCTCTGCAAGTCTGCCCCCCCCAACAGACGTGTGCATGGTCTGGCAGTCAATTACATCCCTTCACCTTCACAAAAAAAAGAAGAAAAAAAAGCCCCCTCCACCATGGCAGGGGAGGCAGCAGAGCCCCGTATCTTTATCTGATCTTTATCCTCTCTCAGCAGCACGAATGGGGGGAGCTGTCAGTCTAAAACTCCAGCTAGCCAGAGCTCGCCAGAGTCCTCTTTAATGCAAAGCATCATCTCAACATAGACGCTGGTTAGGCAGTGAGGTTGAAAACGACAAGAAGTCAATCTCCACACGTTTGAGAGGAGGTATCCAACTGCAACATTATAAATATTCATGATGCACGTAAACAAATGGAAAATGTTTGATTAGGACTGATCAGTAAGGTATGAAATGACAAAAACAAAGCCTTCCTGGAATCATATTTTACACATGACCTGTTCACATATAACAGGAGAAACAGTGGCATTTATTAATGTCTCCCCGCTAACAATTGATCACACTCGTTTGGTTCTCCCTCTGGTCTGTGCTTCTATGTCACTGAGTTCAGAGGACATTAGTCATCTGCCGACCTACAATCAGACCACATTAAGGTTTCAGTCGTCATCAATAGTCCACCACCATCCATCCTCACCATATGTTTTATGCAGGTTCCTTCTGACCTCATATTAAGCGCCTTTTCTTCCCTCAGCCGCTGAACCCTGACACAGTCTCCTCTGCTCAGATCAATAGACTAGGACACAAACCCAAGGCACAAACATCAAAAAGTTTTCTGTGTGCTCCTTTCTCCTTTCATCTTCTTCTTTAAAGCAAAGAGATGGCAGCATATGGAGTGTGTCATTCTCAAGGACAGTTCAGTTCGTCGTGTGACCGGACTTGGCAGAACAAGATAGTACTTATGATTGCCTCTGGCCATGTCACTCCACTGAAGAAGATCTCTCCCCCTTAGTCCCTCAGCTCATTCCCTCTCGCATCTATTGGCTTCCATCCATCTTACTCTTTTCTCTCTCTCTGCAGGCCTCCATCCCCAAGTACTCGTTTCTTGAGTACATCCAGTTTATCGGTGGCCAACGCTTCTCTTAAGGCCCCGAAGAAGCCGTGATAGTGGGCTGTGTTGTGGATCATGAGTAGAACTCCAGCCAGCAGCTCATTGGTCACCAGCAGGTGGTGCAGGTACGCCCTCTGGTGGTTCTTACAGCAGTAACAGCCACACCCCTCCACCAGCGGCCTAAAGTCGTCCTGATACCTGGGCAGAAGTTCAAACACAGTTTGAGTTTAAGTAGAATTCATGAACAGGCATTATAAATGTAAATTAGGTCTTCAGCAAACACATGAAAGAAAAGAACTTGCAAACACTGCTACTTAGAAAACCCACTGGGGTATTACAATAGCTGCTACAAACCTTTTCTCTTTGAGGTTCATCTCAAAGGGTGTCATCTGTGTTTGATCATGACGATTAAGATCGCCATTCTGCTGGCTCTCCCCTGCTGTCGCCTTCTCTTCGTTCAACTCCAACACTGCCAAAACATGCATGCATCGTATAAATCCCAGCACAGATCCCTGGCCAAATGGCATGTCCCATTGCAGTATGACAGCAATAATCAAACACGTATCACCGCAGCTAACACTTATACATCCTTTTTTTCCCCACTATTTGAATATAACATCCACAGTCACTGTTGAAAATGGCATTGGCTCCAATTGTGGCTGCAGCATGAGTGATTGAAGTCATTAATGCAAAGGGGGGTGGGGGTGTAGGATAAATACACAGCTGACTCAAACATTAAGATGCAATTTTTTTACAATATTGGCCATCCAGATGCATAATATTACCTATACTGATATTATCAACAATAGCAAAGTGAGAAGCAGAACTAACAGACAAACTGAGGCATTTATGTGTGTAGCTGCTAACAAACAACAAACACCCAACATACAGCAGAGTAACAGAGGCAGAGCTAGAGCTAACTGAGACAGCCTTTACCAAATCATAAAACAAAACCTTCATTGGCAACCTGCACAATCTAGAGTACTCAGTCTTCCACGGACCCGGACTTTCTTGTATTTTTTTAAATGGTCTTTAGCAATAGTTCTCGAGGCTTTCTGAGGGTCTTTTAGGGTTTTTCTTTGGGCATTAGTGAAGTGATTCCCAAAGACCTATTAACTCAACCTCAAATCTCAGTATGCTGTGTGGTGTCTCCTTCAAAAATTGCCTCATCAGAAATGTCTCAGTGGCAGAGTGGCTATCAAGAAGCCATCATTAAGGAAGGGAAACATGGAGAAGAGACAGAGGTATGCCAAATTACACAAGAGTTAGACTGAAAATCAGTGAGCACAGGACTTATGGAGTGATGAATCAAAATTTGTCATCCATATGTATGTATGGAGGAGCTCGGCAGACAATATTGAGTGTCTACATTCATCTTTGAAACACGTTTCAGGCTCTGTCAAGGTTTACGGCTCTATTTCAACCATTGCTGTTGGGGCTCTTGTCAAAATTGCTGGAAAAATGAAAGCTGAAAAGTACCATCAGCTTTAAATCTGCCATGGAATACCGTCTGGAAAACGTAGATAGGAGAACTCACAATGCAATACTATCAGTTGTGCTCTTTATACTTTATTTCCACCCGTTCAGTTTATTTCACGTCTCAATAAATATTTCCACCCATTTCACATTTTCCAAACAAAACATAAAAAATGAGGGGCACTTCCGCACAGTACTGTAGTTTCATAGGCTTTGAATGGTAACTCTTGTTGAAAAAGAGCGGTTTTTAATAAGAGGGCTGTTGTTTAAAGGAGGACCAGATCTCTAGCCAGAAACAGACAAAAGATACAAGGAAGACTGGAGGGTTTGCTGGAGAAGAAGAAGAAAAAAAAGTGATCCATAGCAATGTCTGTTATTAAAGATAGAGATTAAACGGTAAGAGAAGAGCATAATGGGTTTAGTGGAACCCAAGAGAGGTGATGCAGAGAGCAACAAAGTGCATAAACAAAGCAGAAAACGGAAATTATCATGGTGTCTGTGTGGAGCTTAAAAGGGGAGGTGATAAGCTTCAGAATAAAACTGTATGGAATGAAGCTTGACCAAAGCTAATAAAACATCAAGAAGCGAGAAGTAACTTTCACTGGAGATTAAATTTTGCACAAAGAAAAAAAGCAGCAACAACACAAACTGGATCTAAGAAGAAAGAGACTGGAGTTCGAAGGCTATCATTGTCACAGGCCCTTCATAAAACCATAAGAGAGGAAACGCAGAACTGCATCTCACACTGCTGCGTGTAAAACACATCTAAAATGTGTACTCTCATCTATTTGAACTAATGAGCCAGGTCAATGAGTTCATCTTTACAAACATTTAAATTTATATGATCTGAAGTTAGTTTAAGCACTATAAGTCAGAGGCAGCAGCGACGTCATTACCGCCAAGCTGATAAGCTGCGCTAGTTAGCTTTTACAAGGAACAGCTTAGAGCCAAACAAATTTAGCTGCAATTAGCAGACACACAAGCTGTGCAAGCTGTTTTTACCTTAAATTACACATTTCTATGGCGTGATCGTTTTCATACGCTAAAATCTCCTTAGCTTTGTCTCAGATAAGCAGTTATCCTGCCTTAAAGTGGCAGAAATAGCAGTGAGGACACATAAAAAGATTGGAGGGGCTTCTAAAAATAGAGAAAGAAACCGTGTGACAGATGAATACTTTAAGTGGGTGACAAGGGGGGAACGGGTGAATTAGCATATGCTCTGACACGTCTAAAAGAACCTTAACTGGGAAGCGAGGGTGTTGACATACCTCCCACGGGGCTGTGTAATTGGCTGAATGGTGAATTAGAATTTCTCTAAGGGTCCGACACCTTCACTGAACTCCATTATGCTCCATGTGCAGAATTGATTAATGCTGTCTGGCACTGCATAGCGCCAGATCCCAAACTCCCCTCTGTCAGATGAGTTTAATACAACTTCTTACTAGGGTACAAGGAGCGCCAAGGCTCCTGTAGATTCTCACTGGGGATAGCGATCAGGATGGCTGTAACTCTGCTATCAGTTTGATACCATTTCACCCACCATGAACTGCATTTCTGCTCGTAAGTGATTTTGTGCTTCTACAATACACACAAACACAAACAAAAGCATAAGTTACAAGCCATCATGCGCACATCAGATGTCAATGATCACAAGTAACACTTAATTTCTATTCATTACTTGAAAACCGGCCGCAGCAGCCGTCAGCCTCGTTTCTCACCAAATTAAAACTAGATAACGGCATCGCTGTGAGATGAAAGCCCTTCGTCCGTTTGTTTAAGAACCAGGAACATTAACTCCATCCTTTTTTAACTCACCATCAAAGGCTCCTCCTATGGAAATTAACAAATCTGCTAGAGCATATTTAATCATCACTTCTGTTTTATCAGTTAACTCAGACTCGGTGCCATTTAAGACATCAAAGTAGCGTCTGTTCCCCTTTCTAAAGAATTAACACTAATACTTTTTCATACATGAAATCCACTATATTTATATCCTTTTAATCTTTTCACACTGCTCTGGTCATACCTCTTTAATCCACTATTCTGTTTATCACTCATGTGTATTCAGGGTTCATGCTGGAATACAAGTGAAAGGCAAAACTATGGAATTATTAACAATAAAATAAGATGTTTTATTCATGGAGTTCGGTCCTGAGGGGCTGCATGCATGAAACATAAAGAGCTTATAGATTTATATGTGTGCACAAAAACTACCAATGAAGTGAACTTTCTTTTCACTTCAGTTTACTTTTACTGGCTGTAATGACACAACTTCAGCTGATAAATGTGAGGAGGTCTAAAAGTGCTAACTACGTCTCAGCACAGCTCTTCACCACACCTGCAGGGGGCGCTCTACCTGCGCGCTCTGGGTCCGTGGAAATGTCAAAGCCGAAGGAGAGAGCGCAGCCTCGCTCTGTCGCCAGGAAGGGGAAAAAACTCTCAAACAGGTCCACGCCGGCCTCGACGCACGCCAGCACCTCATCAGGTCGTCCCACACCGTGCAGGAGTCTGAGAGTCACACACAAACGCGCACAAAGACACCAAAAATCAATAGCCTGAACACTCAATAAATGAAACGTTGATGCAAAATGTCAACAACATATTACTGGCAGACAAAAGCCTTTCACAAACACCAGCAGCACGCTTCTTCTCTGGAGTGTTGGTTGGCTCGTTGGTGCCTTCCCCATTTCCCGGGCTCCTCCTGACTCTCTGCCTCCAGGCATCAAGGTCAAGGCGAATTTAGCATTCGATAATGACTCATCTCCACTTTCTGGTAGGAAGCTGCTTCTCTAACAGCCAGAAAAACCAGCGGGGATGCTGCCCTATGGTGTTCCAGATGAGCCTGTTAACAAGCCAACTTAGGGAAGCTCCTGATCACAGACCTCTCATTTCTGATTACAGTAGCTCTGTGTAGCTCCACTCTTTAAGCCACGAGCAGAGCTCCTCCATCCCCTCCCAGAGAGGTGGGCTCATGTGACATGATCTCCAGAGAGTAAACTCCTAAAGGATGATTCAGTGTGGAGGAACACCCCCCCAAAGTCTCTAAAGGGACTGTAGTCTGCCATGTTTTAAGCTGCATAGAAAGATGTGTCTGAGACAAATGATTATCTGTCCAAACTGATCTAAATTAATTATCCAACAGGACAAAACGTACATTGTATTTAGGAGCAAATCTTCAACCGAGGTCACAATAAACTCCTTATCAAAATAGCTGCTGATGAGTTTTTAACCTTTTCCCCTTTAATTAAATTAATGATGTATCTAATAAAGTGGCAGTGACTGTGTATCATGCTCTTAGAATTGTAAAAGGAAATGCGGACGTGGATTTTCCAACCTAAAAAATACTTTTCTACTTTTTCCTTTTTGAATGTGCACATTTTGTCTTATAAAAGTGACCCAAAAAAACTGTCCCAGCAAAGAAGAAATGTAATAAAGAGCAACGCAATGGATGAAAATTAAATGACACCAGCACTTTAAGGTCGAGCTGAGATAATGAGCGCTTGAAGATTGCGGAGGGGGTGGGGGCGAGGCATAGCTGCTGGGTTTTCACTTATAATTAATCAAGCAGGACAATTAATTGATTTTGCAGAATACATCAAATGCGGCTTCTCAGCCTCTGAATTATAACGTCTTTACACATTAATTGCTACATTTATCAGAAATGAATGAGCAGCTAATCGATCTGTCAGTTAAATAAGACTTAATGTGTTCCACTGTGACAAAAACGTGGATTGCCTCTTCAATACGTTCACAAATAAAATCAGTACAGTCGGTTGTTGTTGTCCATTTCCACTCTTCTATTTAGTTTTATCATGGCTGAACAAACAGGTAAATTAATAGATGAAAGAAATGAGGGGAAAAATTCATGAGAACAATTTTTTTTCGAAAAAATGAACAGAAAGTTCAAAATATCTGTTGCCATGACGTCTATATCCTCCTGAACTGGAACAGCTGGAAACGGACATTTTAACATTTTTATTTTCTGATGTTTTAACCAAATAATTAATTGAGTAATCTGCACATTAAACCGTTGCCAGTGGAAATCCTAAATTAAATATTTGACCGAGTAAACATGACTATTCCGTGGTAATGGGCATTTTTAAGCCTTTAGCAGAGTGCATTTTTCAGTAGTAATGAAAACAATTATTGATGCTGAAAATAATGACTAGTTGTTGCCCTGCAGTGAGATTCTGTGTAGACACAAAGCTTCAAAAGTCAGATCTCCAACTGCTAGATAAATGCACAGCGTGGAAGAAATTGTCCTGGTGGCACAAAATGAAAAACAGCAGCAGAGAGGGCTCGTTTGTTTAGCCCCACTATTGCTCTTTCTGTTTGGTCCTGCCTGACTGTGTTCGGTGAATGCTTTCCAATTCAATGATGGGAAAAACTGTTTGAGCTGTAATCAATTCACAAAGGTCACGTAGCCACGAGAAGGCAAACCTGGGTTTGTCCTCAGGCAGCTCCTTGATCATAGCAGTGATGAGCTGGGTCCTCAGAGTTTGGTCCATGGAGCCCGTCTGGAGGCCGTCCAGACAGAATCCTGCCACGGGCCTCTTGGCGGTCTCTCTGGCAGAGCGTACTCTCTCTTCCAGGATGTCGCCTCCTTCCACCACACCAAACACCTCAACTCCCTCCAATTCCTAGAAATGACAGACAGCGAGGGGACTAGAAACTGCCAAAACACTCCAAAATGACAAAAGAAAGAAGGAGCCAAGAGATCAAAATCTAGATTTTCATGGGCACGCACGGTCCTTGACAAGATTTGCAGCTGCAAAAATAAATAAATTAAAGGCTTTAATCTTGCCAGAGCCCATCTGCAAGTTTGTACATTCAAGGCACAAATTTGACTGCAAGTCACGAGGAGCTAAGACAGTCCCCGTAGCACCCATGTCATGAATTACCTGCAGAATGCTGTCAGTCCTCTCTGCTTAATGTGACTCCAAACTCTCAGTTTATTGTCTCAAGGAACATTTGGTTTGCGTTCAGGTGAGGAAACAGCTTATAAATTTACAAGCAATTAGCAAAGACTTAGAGAACATATATAAGCATAGAAAAAAAAAAACACTAATATGTCCTAGGGCTAGAGGAGAACATTGCTTTTTTTTAATCTATTATCCACTGAGGCGTAAAAGAGCAAAGATGTCATATGCACGAGTCACGACAGTTCCCCCGCACCTCTTCATATTAATCCTTTTTACTCAGTCCACCCTCTCATGGAATGAGCCACTCTTTGACTGCAATCAAAAGAAAGCAAAGCAGACTATTCTATTAGTCATGCTTAATGCTGCACCATCACACACCTGCTGATAGTGTAGATACCCACTGATAATGAATTCATCCTAATCTCACTGAGCTTCCAGCTGTAGTACAGATGCACAGCAGCCCCTGTCACAACTGCACTAACGTCAATCTTTGTCTTGTGTGTCTGTGCGATGCATGACTCACTCGCAGATGCAAGCGTGCTCAGCGGCTGATAAAGTGTGTGTTCACTGTGTACCTTTGATTTTTGGTGCACCAGCAAACACTCGTCCAAATGAGCGAGAGTCCGATCCACCGACTTTCTGACCCGTTTGCGAGAAGCGCTGTTCTGCCAGGTCTCTCCGTCGCACATGCTCTGGTACCAGTCTGGCTGTACGGTCTTCTGAAGAGCCATGAACTTGGCCACCGTTAGTTCTATCCGCCCACCGCTGCCCCACACTGACACCGTCTAATAACAAAGCAAAAATATGTGAGAAACCCATTTCACCTGTGATCGCACCCAGCAGTAAAGTCACCAGGGCCTTTAGTTTACCACAGCGTGAGCAATGTCACCTTGTTGGTGGTGTAACCCGTCGGGCTGTGCGTGGCAGGGTCGTGAAGGGAGCAGTAGAGCACAGTATCATGAAGACCTGAAACCAGACGTAACTGCATCACTCACAGAGAACACAGCAGCAAAGGAGTTAAGAGGGTCGAGCGTGAAGCCAGGTGACAGAGCGAGGCGCTTCGACTCTGCATGTTAATGTGACGACTGAGAGAAGAACGAGCTGTGTCCTTATCAGCAAACCCAGCCGCTGCAGAGGATCAGAAGGTGAGAAAACAAAACTGTCTAATAGCAGCAAAGGCTATTCAATCACTGCTTGTCCCTTCAGGGGCTTCAGAGGCAGAGGCAGTAGTAATCAATGATAGTTTATTCCAAGTGATGATATCGTGGTAACATGTCTAATTTTCTTAAAGTGGCTGCCTGAGGCTGGGTGAAGCCCAGGCCACGTCCACAGCAACACATTTTTGCTTTCAAATCTACAGCTTCTTTATTTACACCTACCCATCACACCACTCTGGCATTTTAGCTTCCCTAAACGGGAGACTAAATAATTTTCAGTGTATTAAAATAAAAATGCAGTTGCCATTTTTTAAAGGTTTATATGGTTGGTAAGCATGGCACACTCACCAAAATGCTGCACATTTGCTTTCATTACTGTACTTCTAGAGGAGCTCAGACTGAATTTATCCACACATGTCTAAATGAATGTGTTTATTATGAAGGAGGAAGCGTTATCCCCTCCCCCCAATTTCTCTAGCCACACCCATACTCAATCGAGAAATCACTTAAATAGGACCTGTATGAGAAAGTGGAGTGGAACAAAAAAATCCTCAAAATCATCCCACGATCCAAGAAAACAAATAAAAAACTAATTTTAACTGCAATCTATCAGCCTGCAAAAGGTTATCAAGTCATTTCTAAAGCTGTTGGACTCCAGCAAACCACAGTGCGACGACATTATCCACAAATGCTGAAATCATGGAACAGTGGTGAACCTTCCCAGAAGTGGCCGGCTGACCAAAATTAACTCAAGAGTGCAGCGACGACCCATCCAATACGTCACAAGTATCCCTGAACAACTTGCAAAGAACTGAAGGCCTCACTTGTCTCAGTTAGCGTCAGTGTTCATCACTCCACCATAAGAAAGAAACTGGGCAAAAATGGCCTTCATGGCAGAGTTCCAAGACAAAAACCACTGCTGAGCAGGAGAAGGAACATAAAAGCTCATCTCAGTGTTGACGAAAAACAACTTGATGATAAACAAGACTTTTTGTAAAACACTCTGTGGGGTGATGAGACAAAAGTTGAACTTTTTGGAAAATTGTGTGTCCCATTAAATCTGAGGTAAAAGTAAGACAGCATTTCAGAAAAGAAAGATCATACCAACAGTAAAATATGGTGGTGGTAATGTGATGGTCTGGGGCTGCTTTGCTGCTTCAGGACCTGGAAGACTTGCTGTGGTAAATAGAAAGAGGAATTCTGCTGCCTACCAAAACATCCTGAAGGAGAATATCTGGATATCTGTTCAAGCTAACCATGACCTCTCTTCTCTATATGGATTTATTTTTCTTTTGTTAACGTGTAATATGCCACTCTGGAGCTGCTCCAATCACAAATCCACTACTCTACACCCACCTGTGGATCAGTAGTCTCCTGTATGGTTAAATGTGTGACTCGTCAGATGTGCTAAATTAATTTATTGTGCCATAAATCTAATAACAAACAACAATAATAATAGTGATAAATGGAAAAAGTCTGAATATCAGCTCCAATAATCAGAACGGCAGATAATCAGTCAACCCCTCTGCAACACTTCATATTCTCCATTTAGGTAAAAAAAGAAAAAAGAAAAAGAAATGATGATAGATTACCTATTAATCAATACTCAATACATATGAATACATTGGATAAGCTCTGGTGTCATCATAATTTAAGCGTAATTAATGGTGTCTTGTTTGAACACCTGTCGTCCTCTTCTTCTTCTGCTCTCATTACTCTCTGTAAGATAAACATGCTGAAAGGAAAGAGAGAAAGAGGAAATTATGAAAAATGTAAATTTTTACCTGCGAATTTTCTGAATCCATCCTTAAACTCCTCCAGCACCTCCTGGTGCTCAGCTCTAGAAGGAGAATGGTTGAGATGTGGTTTAGATTTGAAAAATAAAAGGAGATCACTGTGCGTGCTTTGGCGTTTCCATAATGGGACAGCTTACATGTGGGACAAAGTGATCTGAGTGACAGAGGGGAGACTGATCAGCGTGTGCAGTGTGTCCTGAGTGAGGTGGGGAACGGTGCCAAAGTGTGTGTACAGCAGACACCCCGGGATCTCCAGTGAATGCTGCCCCGTCCTGTCCAGTCCCTTCAGGACACCCAGCCGACTTCTTCCCTGAACCACGCGGGACAGCTCCAGTTGCATCCTGCTCCCAGCCATAGCAAAAACTCCAGTCGAAGCGCTAAAAGGACTCCCTCCAACAGCTGAAATAGTACGAGTGTTACTGGTTTTGACTTAGCCACGTAGCTAGCTAGCCTTCCCACTCACGTGTATTTGGAATATTTACCGCTCTAAGTCCGACACTTGGATGAAACCTACACACTCACAGGGATGCTTGTTTACGTGAGAAACGCTGAAAATCAAACAGCTCACCAACAAAACCTCATGGGCTGACAGGAACTACAAGTCGCAGGAATATGTCGTCATCAACGGCGAAGGCACCGCTTAAAAAAAAAGTTCGGGTTATCTCAAGAACCTTTTTTTTTTTCTTCTCAAAACATTCAATTGTGGCGTTATAGGTGGCACTCCATGTAGGAAAAGCTCTTTAAATTATAATTATATTTTTTTAAAAATTGAATTAAACATTCTAATAATTAAACATTTTACATTAATTTGTTGAAAGACTTTAATTAGAAGCAAAGTATTTAACTACTTTATTAATACATGTTCGTTATCATTATTCTTTTAATGAATTTCAGTTCTCACTGAAGGACCTATCAAAGTTGCTATGGTGACCCAAGACGCTGAACCCCCAGCTACAGTCTTGTGGGAAACGTAGTCCTGAAAATCTTAATTTGTGGAACAGTCATCCAAAAAAAGAAAGCCAATTTACTCCATTACCCAGAATCCACCATAACAGTAACTCGACGAGAGTTATGCTTACCACTTTTAGGTTTTCGAGCACTTTTTCTAATAACGTTTAAGCATATTTTGACGATAGAAATTGAAAAACGTTGACTGTTGCGCTTCGCGCACAATTTTAGTAAAGAAAAGACACCAACGTGATAACTGGGATTACATCATATTAAGGTGCAGTGCTGTATCAGGTGATTATGGCATTTCCAGGTCACAATTCTGACCTGTTTAGGTGGAGAAGAGTTGGCTCGGCAAACAAGGTAAGTCTAGTCTTTGGATTCGTGTAAATTCATAGACTGTGCTAAACTGAACGCTATACTGCATCTGTTTTCCCCAGTAATATCCCTGAGAGAGGGAAATAATTTGGCTAAATGCTCTTTGAATAATAAAGAAGGAAAAGCACATCTGTGTTATTACCGTGTATAAACTCGTGGCTCATGTCAGGGGCCCGTTCAGAAATGTCACCCGGCCCTATCTCTGATACTCACATGCTTGCAGGCAAGCTAGCAATGGCACAGACTTTTGGACGTGTGAGAAATGATTTTGAACTAACCTGCTGATTTGAAGCAGTGGCTAAGCTTTTCTGTGAAATGATCCGCAGACTTTAGGCCCTTGGCTCAGCCTCCAATTTGCAGACTGCCACCGCAGCTCAAAGTGTCTCTGAGCCTGTCTAGGCATTTTTAAGCACTCAAAGGTGACCATGAGGCCAGCATTTTTTTGTGTGTGAGAGCTCTTTGGTGTTTCTTACAGAGAATATTAGCTTACACTAATCTTTCTTTCAGATTCACGTAAAGAAAGGTGATATTGATCAGTGGAAGAAGGTAAGAAATGTGTGTGCTCAGTTATATATATTTTTTATTTATTATTGAGTTGAATGTCTTTGGGGGTTTGGGAATTGTGTGACAAAATTGTTAACTTCAGCTTTGCATGTGTGTGTCCTTTCCCTGACCTCAGCGAGTGGAGATGGCCTCAGAGTTTGCTGTGTCGGAAGTCTTCTCACACAAAAAACCTCATTCAGGAATCAGCAGCCTAGCTGTACCATTGCAAAGCACTGAACAGCTGAGAGATCATGATGAGGCTTACAGTGAAGGTAGGTGCCTTATAATAAATAATAATAAATAACCTGTCTGTGTAGAAATGCTATCTATATAACCACATAGAGTACAGCAAGAGGGATGATGATATATGGCCTGATGTTTGTTGCAGCTCAGGCCCTTTTAGGTGACTGGCTGAGTAATAAGCTGCGGCTGGAGTTGGAGTTGGAGGATGAAGATGACCTGATGTGCTCTGCTGAGAGGACAGGCACAGCTGCATCAGCTAGTGCTGTGCCTGCTGCTTTAAACTACAACAACTTTGATGGTATAAAATATTACCTGATGAGATAACCCAAAACTCATTATTTATTAAGACCTTCTCCATTAGACCTGTGGCCCTGATGGACGAGGCGGTACAGAACACCTTTAAAGAAACAGTGACCTCTAGAAGATTTACTCATGATTATGAAAGGCTCATTCAAAATTCAGTGTGGGTTTTATATTGCTTCAAATGGCCTCTGACTGCTAGGCTTTATAAGAGTATTCAAAACAATCAGTATGCAGTACTGTGCAAAGGCCTCAGGCCACCGCTCATTTATTTTTATTATTAAGCTTCCAAAGAACCATACTTTCTTTTAGTTTTTTAAAGTGACCAATAGTTCTCCAGGTCTCAATGTTTTTCTATATAAACGTATATCAAAGTACACTAGAACTGGACTGAAAATCAGTGGCAACAGGTTTGATGGAGTGATGATTCCAAGTTTGAAAATTTTGGTTCAAATCATCAAAATATATGGAGTAGGTCAGGAGAGAGGTGCAACATTTATGTGTTAAACATGTTTTATGTTCTGTCATGATTTGGGGCTGTATTTTACCAGTGGTGTTAGGGGTCTTGTAAAAATCGATGGAATTATGACCTCAGAAAAATAGGATCAAATTTTGATCCACCATTGCAACGCCATCTGGAATGCATTTGACCGGCAACAAGAAAAACACACGATGGAACATTGTCAGTCATGGATTGGCCTTCCCAGAGCATGGATCTCAACATTATTGAGGCAGTGTGAGATCATCTTGACAGAGAACAGAAGAAAAGGTAGCCAGCATCTAAAGAAGAGCTTTGAATGTCTTTTAAGAAACCCGGAGAGCTATTCCTGAACACTACTTTAAGAAATTAGAAGAAAACTGCCTAACAGAGTTCAGGCTGTGTTGACGAATCAAGGTGTTCGTACCAAATATTGACTTTCAAGCATTCAGTTCATTAGGATTGTACAAACTGTTTTTGCATTTTATACTGCATGCACATTTTATGATAAATTAATTCACATTTCCTGCAAAATATAAAGACAATATAAAGGTGGCTGAAGACTTTTGCACAGTACTATTTCAGTCTGCATTACAGTACCATTGGACAAAATGTTGCCTGACTTGGGCATCACACCATTAATCTTACAAGTATTGTGCAAGGAATTAAAATCACTGGTTTCCAAGATAGAAGGAAATTAATATTAAAGCTCGAAATGTTGAAAAATGGTCATCAATAATGTGAAGTACAGTCTTTTACAAGTACTTCAGTTGTCATATTTCTTTTCCAAAAATACTTAGAACTCTATAACTGCCTTGTCGAGGAAGAAGAGCAGTCAGCTGTCAAAGGCTTCCTACAAGACCTCATGGAGCAGGAGCTGTTGGACTCCAGGATGATGGAGGATTTGGCACTTGATGCTCATCAAACCAGAAAAAGATTTAGAGACCCGATCATTACCATGGAAGCCCGACACCAACAGGTAGTCCGTATCAAGAGATGCGAATGCTGAAGGTTTGGCTGTTGCTGTTGTGATGCATGTCGCTGAGCAAATCATCTGGAATGACGTGTGTTCGTGTGATGTTTGCAATTGTACAAAATGCTGCTCAATTCCAATGCAGGTGCGAGAAAACAGGGCCCAACGGGAGGCTGAGAGACAGAGGCAGCAGAGAGAGAGGGATGTCCTACGAGCTGCCAGAGAGGAGGCGAAGAAGAGGGAACAAGAGGAGGAGATGAGGAAAAGGCAGGAGAAACGCAGGCAGGAGGAGATGGTTCAGCAGGAGATGGTGAGGCTGAGGCGGCAGATGGAAGAGAGGAGAGGCCTGGAACAGACTGTTCGACAGAGGTAGGAAAAGATTACAACAAGCCGATTTATCACCCAGCAGATCACATTGTTTGTGATCTGGTTTGCTTCACCTTCCTTCCTGGTGGAGAGAATGGATTAGTGGTAACCTGTTGACAAGGAGAGCTGTGATCAGCCATATCAGTCTGGTGAACAAAGATAAAGCTGCGTTGTAAATCATGCTCTCACTATGAGTGTAAGGCCTTTCTTTACCACAGGAAATGTGTCATAACTTTAAATATTCCTCGTGGACAGCAGTCAGCAAGTGTCACAACATATATCTGCGATGCTGTCACTATATCATATTAATGATTTTTTTGTCTACAGTTAATAATACTGACAAACTAAAAAGCCATTTAAGGAATTAACAAGAGAGCTGAGACTTGAAGGATTATGGGAGGTGAAGTGTTTAGAAAGAGACCACACATTCTCTATGAACTACAAAATGACACAATATATGAAACTAAGAAAAAGTACCACAAAAAATAGAAGATTTTATCCCAATTAGCATCATTGTGCTAACAGTCTCATGTTAGCTGGCAAGGCTAATGTTTGGCTACTATAAAACATATAGTAGCCAAACATTAGCCTATATAGCAACACCATTAGTGTTTCAGGTATTTGTACAGAAACCAAAAATATAATAATGGTTATATGGAACTTAGAGGTTTGAGTATTGAACAGGTTGTTGTTGATTAGTAGTCTGGGTCTGTGTGGCTCAGATTGGGCCTTTTGTGTGCAACTATCCATGTAAGAAAGTGATCACTCCATGTACAGGCACGAAGTCTGATATCTTCTTGGACAGGTGTCCATGCATCTTTCTGACCTTTTCATAAACAACATGAAGCCCCTTTAGAGGAATGGTGTTATATTTTGTATATATTCATTTTTGCTTTATTTGTTCTTTTTAAATATACTTTAAGAAGTTTGTATTGCAGTCAAAATCAGATAAGGGCAGCACCATGGATGTTTATTTGGATATTGATTTGGACATGAGATTTGACCTTATTACATAAAATGATACTACAGTATCTCATTCATGACAGTGCTTTCTTGAGGTCAGAGGTCAAATGGGGCATAATGTTTGGATGCAAACTATAGTGTGATATTTAGCATACCAGTACCATTTCTTAAATTTACACGGGGTGCCTTAAGGCACACAGGTTTTTATGTTTGTATCTTCTGTGTTATGCACATTAGGTTTATGTATAATGAAATGTGCCACATAAAGAAAATTGCCATCATGTTTTATATATTAATGTACAGAGAGAGAGGAAGAGCAGAAGTGCAGATCACAGCCAGAAACCTCCATTCAGCTCCAACACCTCTCATTAAACAACAGCATGAGGACGCTAAGCGACTGTATCAAGAACAAATGATTCAAAGAAAGGTTCACATTAACAACCTTAAGGTTGGTACCTGGAAGCTAAGTATGTTTGTGTAAATACTGTAGATTCAGTTGTGTTAAGAAGTTTGCATACACTCGTCATGGGAGTGAATGTCATGGTAGTATTGGGCTTTCACTGATTCCTTTGAACTGGTCTTGGTGGATTGACTGTACAGCAGACATTTTGATTGGTAAACTTGACAAGACCAAAGCCTATTAACTTTCCATTAGTGATAATAATTGGCTACAACTGGTAGTTTCTTTTTCACAGAGTAAAAAGGATTTGTTTGACAACACTCACTGAACTGGCCAATACTGGCCAAGGAACTCAGGAAAAATCTAAGAAGAAAATATATTTACATAAATTGGCAAAGGTCACTTGGAACCATTTCTAAACAACTGCAGATTTCAAGATCAGTTCATACAGTTGCACATACGTACAAGTTATTCAGATGTGTCCCCAGTTTCTGAAATAAGACCCAAACTGTCACCCTCAAATAAGAGGAAATTGGTTAGGATATTCAGAGACCACCAAGTCTCAAGCCTGCTCTGAACTGGAAAGTGCTGGAATGCCAGTGTCTTGGCCTGGAGAAAGCTTTTATGGTCAGACAAGGCAAAGATTAGGCTGGTTGGCCCCAATAACAAACCTAACAACACTGTACCAGCTGTCGAGCATGGTGGCAGTAGCATCATGCTCTGAGACTACTTTGCTGCCAGTGTCACTGGTACATTACACAAAGTGGATGGAATATTGAAGGAGGAGGACAGTTCAAGGAATCATTAAAAGCCCAAAATTACTATGACATTTATGCCCATGATGACTGTTCATAAACTTCTGACCACAACTGTAGGTTGCTACTATATATGTGAATTTATGTTTCGCATGAATTTGTGTATATGGTTTAGTGTCTGCAAAGGCATTTCTCTGGGTGGTATTCAGTCGTGCTGGACCGAAGGCTACGTATGGGTAAGGCCAAGGCTCTCTATGACTGGAAGAGGCAGCTAAAAGCATGGCGGGCGTGGCGAGCAGTGATGTGGGCAGAACGAAAGCAGCACGAGGTGGCAAGAACAGAGGAAGCACTGCGAACCGAAAGCAGGCAAGAACCAGAGATTGTTAACATTAAAGTAGCTTTTATTGTATCATCGATGCCCTCCCCTTCTACCAAAATCTAAAATCAAACTATTAATTGAGAGTATCTCAACAGGTCACTCATTGACTGAGAAGCATTTATATCCAGGGTGCAGTGACCCAGCAGTAATTGAGGGCAAGAAATATGATCACATCCGTATCCTCCTCCAGACAGTGCCAGCTGGCTGCTGAAAGTGACCGAAGGCGGTTGCTACGGCGATGTCTGAATGAGTGGCAGCTATGGTGTCGGACGGAGAAGGAACAACGTGAGCTTTTGGCCCGGCAGCAGGAAATCAAACAAAAGATGGCTGCTCTAATCAGTGCTGCATCAGCAGGCAAACTCAAGGCCACAGAAAGTCTGGCTTATCGGCCAATAATGGCCCCACCGGAGGCACCAAACCGGACCACAGAGAAGGTGAGACTCACAAATCCTCATGTCATCAGCAACGGTGCACTCTCTTCATTAATGATTCCCACTGAACACAATCTGAAAAATATTACAGCGAGTGAAATCATGACTAAAACATCAGCTTTGATAGGCGGTGCTGAAAGCCTAATTACAGAGGCAATTACTGAGTTTCGGAGCTTAACTGAATGAAAAAATTTCCCTTTTAACGTTCCTCTTTGCATGAAATAACCTGACCTTTACTCAGCCCTTCAGCCAAAGAAGGTTTTGAAATATTTACAACTCTTTAGAGAGCAGGGATGATGAACAGGAGGGCAGAGACCTGATGGAAGAAATGCTGGAGAAACACATGAGATGCGTTGGCTGGTTTAACCATTACAGCAGAGAGTTGTTTTGATGATGTTTTCTTTCCTCGTGTTTACTATCTGTCTCTATCGTGACTCTCTTATAAAGGAAAGTGATGTAATTGTCACAGTCGGCTATGTGGGAGGCAGGAACTTGACAAAGAGAGAAACACTGAGAACACTGGAGGGACAGAATAGAAACACAAAAGGGACTAAAGGCACAGAATCATAATAAACACCAGGAACGTTGAACATAAACAGAAGGCTATTGAGCTAAACCCCGGATGAACCCAAAAACCTTTAGTGCAGGAGCACAGGACTAACGGCACGAAATAAAACGAAAGCAACCCGTAAGGGTAAGGAAATAAACCAAACGCGTAAACACTAAGAAATAAAGAAAGACAAATATCAACAATAGAGAATGAAGAACTATAATGTTACCTCCTTTGACAGTATCACAGTATCACCTTAAAGCACTTGTTGCAGGCTGCTGAGTTTGCATCTTTTGCTGTGAAGTACAGCCAGACTTTTGACCGCTTCGCCTTGGGCATTTTTAATCTGTAGCTCTGCTCTAAAAGAACCTACATACGTGGACCTGCCTACTATCCTCAGAAATGTAAAATAATTGGCTAGAAAGTGTATCACAGCTCAGGAAAAAAAAGCACAGAAATAAAGCACCGAAATGTGCACTGCTTTTCGGTCTGGTTACTACCGTTTATGTCAGAACCGGTGCCATCATGGCACCGGATACCGGTACCCATCCTTACCTATCAGAGACTTTTTCTGTTAATGTATCAGAATTCTAAAAGGACAAAGTCTTAGTAAAGTTTGAGCAGCCTTGAGAGACCAAGAGAAACTTTTACTGCATCTGTGTTGTCGCCTTAGGCTCTATGTGAACCTAGCTTCTATGTAAAATCCCACCTTCTCTTTTCTATTCTCCTCAGGAAGATCGCTACAGCTCTGACACTTTAGCCCCCGAGACCTCTGCACTACCTCAGGAAAAGAACCCTATGATTACTGCAGCCCGGCCCTCTCAACCGTGGCAGGTGACCCGACGCCATGCAGCACCCACAGCTGCTGAGCTCCACAGGGCATGGCAGAAAGAGGAGGAGGGTGGTGCCTGCACCCGTTCGGTATTGGTATCACCAGGCAGCAGGTTTGAAAACAGACATGCTGCCCAGAAGCAGATCATCGCACAACAGAGGAAGCTGCTGAAAGAGCAGCAAGAGCAAATTACCCGGCTGAAGCAGGAGCAGAACATGAGGGGCTTGAGGCTGGAAATGGAGAGAGCTGCAAAAGTTACCCAGTCAACAATGCTTGGAGGCTTGAGACCAAAGACTCGCAATATTGACACCAAGGTGGAGAGGTATGTTCAGTGCATATCGTATGAACCGGTTAGCTCTAGATTAGTGTGAATCATTTTATAAGTAATACGTATTAAACTGAGTGTTTATTTGTTTGTGACACCAAACAGCCAACCCTGTGTCATCAGCAGTTTTTATAGTTCCACCCTGCCATAAGGCACCTTTTATAAAGGATTTAAAGCTACAATTATTGGCTTTTTCACTGAATGATAAATAATTAACTAATGCTCTGCAGGTCCATTATAAGCCAAAAAGCAACTTCTGGGCTGTCAGTTTGTGCTATTAAGTTATAAATAATTAAGTCATTAATAAATGCTTTTAGTTTCTGTCTTTTGTTAGTCTATCCAGTCTGCTGATGCCAAATGTTTCTAATTTCATAACAAATTAAAGCAAAGTATAATTTTTGCAAAGTTTTGAATAATGAGTATGCTTAGTGTCCGTCCATCCTTTATAACTTCTTCTCATTTATAGTTCCAGATTTACATTTCCTGTTTCGCTTTTTCCTTGTGAAGCCCGAGGTACTCTCAGGCCAGCTGAAAAATATAGTTTTGCAGCGAGTTCAGGGTCTAACAAAAGGTGTCCTCGTTGTTGGTTGTGCCCTACAAAAGCGTCAGGTGGAGGTGTGCTGGAGACGATCCTGGTCACTGCCCAAACCACCTCACTGGCTTCTTTCGACCTTAATGTGGTGTAGGAATGTGGTGTTTTTTCTAGGGGTATAACCGTTTTGAGGGGGAGAGCGGGCTTTTCTGGACTTTATTTGATAGAACAGTGAAGACTAGACATGTAAATAGGATAGAGATTGGGGGAAGGACACGCAACAAAGAGTCCTGGTTGAGACTCGAATGCGGGACACTGGATTGAGCCTTTCAGCTTATGACTGCCTGCTCATCCAAGTAAGCTAAACTGGTGTCACAACTTTAAAATCTGATTAGGAACCCAAAGCAAGGTGGAAAAAGCCCAGATGAACTGGATGTATATAAGCTCCAGTGCTGCTTCATAAACAGGGAAACTGGTGTCCCCTCCTGAAGACCCCCTGCAGGAAAAGACATTTGGCTCAGGTGCAGTGAAAGCTGTGAGCTTTGCAAAGGCAGATTCTGAGCATCGTGACATGCTGGACCGTCATTGAACAATCCGTTCATGCTTAAAAATCCTGTACAAACATACAACTTACAAACTCCACACAAAAAGGCCCAAGCTGAGCTGAAGGTTCAAAGCCAGAACCTGCTTGGTATGAAGACACACTGCACCACCATGCCCACCTGTAGCTTGTAAATGTGTATACAAATGTACTGCTGTGCTTTCTCATGAATCAGCTGTGGAACGGGTCCACATGAAGAAGGACGGAGCCCACTGAGAGATATTTGTCACAGCCTGCATGTGCAGTTTGGATGAAGCCAAGGAGGGATGACCTTTCACTGTGCATTATTTAAACTTGGAAATGTTCGTGTGACAGATGTTGAAATGAAACCATGTTTGGTTGGTTCCTCAGGCTTAGAGATTTAGAGCCTGTGCTGTTTAGGTTGATCCCGTATACTAAATTGTTTCACATACTATTTTTAACCTGGCTTCACACTCAGCCTTGTGTAAGACTAACTCCACACACTCCGAATTTGTTAACAGCTCTGAAACCTCTCAAGATGAGTAATCACTGTTTGTTCACTTCTCTTTCCTCGGCGCAGACTAATGGCAGAACAAGTGGAAAGGTTTATTTGTGTGAACACCTCATTAGGTAAAGTTAAAAGGAACCAATATTTCATATGTGTAGTTTGGTACTATGGTATAGATAATTACGGTTTCCATAATATAGATGAAGATGCACTGCGGTACAATCTGTTACCCGATAACAGCTTTTGTTATTAATATAAATCATGGAGGAGAAGATAAAAGAAACAGATGATGTTTAAACTTTAGAATGAGTAAAAGGAAAGAAAAAGTTTATGACTGCTACAGGGGGAATACACTCTCCAAGCAGTGTATACAGTAACAGAAGAAAGCTCGGCACATTGGAGTTCATTTACAGATTTACAGACAATCTAATGTATGTCAGTCAAGTTTGGCTTTGGTCATTACCTTTCTGAGTAACACTTGCCAGGAACAGTATCAGACAGACTTCTGACAGGCCTTTGTTTCTGTTGCAGGGCACCGAGAGGGACTGGAGAACCTGACAGTCAGAGTGCACCTTCAAGCAAAGCTGTCACGCTGCAGACATGCCCCCATCCACTCACCACAGGTCAGTATTAAAAGTAGCTCATTGTGCAGGGGAACTTGCACGTTCACACATGCACAGAAAGTTCATTTCCATCTCCCAAAGATGTGGTGAAGCACTGCTGTAGCTCTTTTATTCAGGAAATTAAGTGACTCCGAGTCACACTTGTGAGCAGTTTACATTTGGGCCGATGTGTTCGTGTTCAGAATGAAAAGTCTAAGAAAGAAACGTGTACATGACCAATCACTGGACTGCACAGAAGAAAAGCTTGTCATCCGCTCACTTTCCCTCCGTCTCTCTGAAGCCATGGAGGCCCGAGCACGTCAGCGAGCAGAGCGAAGGAAGGAAATTGAGGAACTCAAGAGGAAGAAAGAAGAAGAAAAGCTGGTAAGCTGAAAGGTCGTTTTCTGGGGAAACGTGGGGGGTTTTTTTTGCAGCAGCAGCAGCTGTGGTTCAAGTGGTGGCTCTGATTTCCCATGGGTTGGTGGTTTGATTCCCTGCCCCTCATTGTTTGTAACTGATCTCAGGAAAGACGTGAAGCCGGGAGTGTGTGTGAATAGGTGAATGAGAAACCGATAGTAAAGCAGTAGAAGCCAGCTAAGGTTAAAATGCACTCCATAAGTGCAGACCTCTTACCATTTTTATTTTGGGACCTCCAAAACAGCTGTCGTTAAAAAAAACATCCAAATTTAATGGCAAACACAACTTTCAGGCTCAGATGAAAGCCGGTGAAGAGCTCAGGCTGAGGGAGGAGGAGGAGGAGAAACGCAAAGCAGCAGAAAGACGTCGGGAGGAGAAAAGGCTGGAAAGAGAGGTGAGGTGTACTTCATATTTTATGGATGTCCGCAAAAAAGCGGAACTTCGTGGGTCTGAGTACAAGAAGCGGTTCTCTCATGTGACTCCCTGCAGAATATTAAAAATAATCTCGCTTTGTGTTTCTGCACAGAGAGAAGAGGAGAAACAGAGACAACTGAAAAGGCAACGGGAGCTGATGGCACTGGCCCGCCAACACCACTGCAGAACGTTGTTGCTGCGGCGGGGCCTGGCGCCATGGAAACGCCTCATTCAGCTCAGACAAGCCAGTGTGGAGGTAAATCACCTGTCCTGTCCATTTCAGCTGTCAGTCTACAGCGACACAGGGAGCCAGCAAGTACTATTGTATTTCTGGCTGTGAGGAGTAAACTAAAAACATTTGTTTGACTTTAACACCATTAATGTGTTAAAGTGGCAATTGTGAGCAATGTACACAATAACTGACAATTGTGAGCAATACACAAACTGCTCTGGTTTTTTAAAAAATAAATTATTGTCACTCAAAAACCGAGCCAAAGGCAAATCTACGACACACTTTGGACGTGAAAGTGCAGAAGGAATACGTCCAAACAAAAGCTTTCTAGCAGCACTCCCTTGACATCATCACTATTTCATCCTCCAAATGTTCCTGTCTTAGCAAAGCTTAACAAATGAACACAGAAAATCTTTTGTATTCATGTTTCAGAGCTTGTTATAAAACCTCTCTGTTTGGATGCGAGTACATGGCTTTTCTACCTGGCACATATGATTGAGTTTACATTCACGAGTGCACACTGGTGCTTTTCCCCCCCTCTTTTTCATTCCCTGCCAGCTGGCTGAGCGTCATCACACTTTCATCCTCCTGAAGCAGTGCACATTAGGCTGGCAGCAATCAGCAAGAGAGTCTGTGTCTGACAAAGAAGCTTGTGCTGACCAACTGCACCAGCACTTTTTGCTTCGGAGGAGCTTAACCTGCTGGAAAAGGGTGCGTATACACCTGCACACATACAGACGCCATCCGGGGCTGACTAAAAGAAATATCTTTTTCCTAATCTCCTCTTCTACCTGCTCAGTCATATTTTCATTTTTCCAGTCTGTATGAGTGACAGGTTAAAGGAAAGAAGCCAGCCCTGTGCCTCTGTTTTGCTGTCTGTGTTTGCTGGCATGACTTGGGTACACGAGAGGGATCAATGCAAATCAAAACAAAGTTCTTTCCTACCACGAGACATTCCTGTGTTCATGTGACTTCTCTCTCCCAGTTGATAATAAACCATCCACAGGGCGATATGGGTCACTGATCAGCTTGATGAGTATGAAAATAATGGAAATCATCTGCTGTGACCTTCTGAGTCACCAGCTCCCCAGTCACCACCCACACTATCAGAAAAACATCAAATAAGGAGACAACCAACACTTATATTAGATTTTCCTTTAGTTTTTCAACCATCTTTTATATCCTGATTTCTTAGTGTTTTTTAAAAAATATTTTTCACAATTACATGTTTCAGGTCAAAAAAAATTAACATTAGACAAAAATAACTGATTAAATACTAAATGCATTTTTTAAATACCTGGCCCTATGCGGAAAAAAATAATTGTCCTTCTTGTTAAATCATGAATTAACTGTGATTAAGAGCAATTTTTGGAAAAGCTGAGTTCATTTTCATAATTCAGTTGTCTAATTACCCGACCTATTCAATCAAGAAATCACCAAAACAGAACCTGTCTGGCAAAGTCAAGTAGACTCCAAGAGGTGATTGACTCATTACAGAGGTCATGTCATGGCACACCCTGGACAGGTCAGCAGTCTTTCACAGTGCTAACACATAGAAACAGACAGCCATTCGCACTCAGATTCACACCTATGGGCAATTTATAGTTACCACTTAACCTAATCCCACTAAATGCATGTCTTTGGACTGTGGGAGGAAGCCGGAGTACCTGTAGAGAACCCACACAAACTCGGGGAGAACATGCCGACTCCACACGGAAAGACCCTGATGGTGGAATTGAAATCAGGACCTTCTTGCTTCCCCCCCAAAAAAAGTAATAAAAACTAATACAGCACTTCATAAAAAGAACACCAACACCATACCAACAGTGTCGAGGCTGCTTTAATACTTCAGGACATGGGCGATTTGCCATAATTGATAGAACCATGAATTCTGCTCTCTACCAGAAAATCCTGAAGGAGAATTTATGGCCATCACTTTCTGTCCTGAAGCTCAAGAGCACTTAGGTTATTCAGTAGGACAATGATCCAAAGCACACCAGCAAGTCCACCTCTGAATGGCTAAAAAAGAAATAAAAAATAAAGCTGTTGGGGCGGCTTAATCACACTCTGGCCTCAAATCAGACTGCGATGCTTTGGCGTGACCTTAAACTGGCTGGTCAGCCTTCAATGTGGCTGCTAAAGGTGGCACAATCAGTTTTTAGGTTTATGGAAAAATAACCTTTTCACAATGCATCAAGATGATATTTGATGATCTGAAACATGTAATTGTGATGAATACCAAAAAAACTAAGAAATCAAGAAAAGGAAAAATACTTTTTCACAGCACTGTGCATCTCATCTTATAATTTTTGTTCACTTTTACTGTATTCCTATTTGTAAGCAAGTGTTTTTCATTCCAGATGAGAGACATACAGATAATTCAGGAAGAGCGAGCCGAGCGCTTCTATCGCACACGCACTCTGAGGAGGTTTCTGCTGGCGCTGCTGGACCACGTGACTCAGGAGAGGCTGGTGGAGTGGGAGCATCAGGAGCTGGCTCTGGAGCATAATGAGAGGTCTGCTACCCCTGACTTTGCCATATGTTCACAGTAATATAACCAGCCAAGTGGGTGTTATTATATTTAACAACTTGAAAGAACTTTAATTACAAGTTAAACTGCTGAATCAGAACAGTCTTTGCAGCTCTTAGAGAAAGGACAGGGCCTGCAAGCCTTTGAAGATGTAAACATTCATTTGACCTCTAGGCATTTTCAATAAGAGACTCTCAAGACCTCAAGTAGCCCTGAAAAAATAGATTTACTAGGAAGTTGTGTAGATGGTAATTCTATAATACACATTGCAGAAGCAGTTTCTGGATATTCACCAATATGAAATATGAAGTGCATCTTTTTTTCCCATCTTCCTTTTCCAGTGTAACTTCCTCTTCATTAGACAGAAAATTTATACCACCATCTCCTTGACTCCGGTGCACCAACTCATATCTGCTGTTAGCTGCAAATGTCTTTTCATATCATGATTAATGGAGTCTGTTGGGATGCTTTTGTAGCTCAGTGTGTAGCGCTCCTAAACGGGCCACGTTTCTGCAATAATAGCCTTTGTAGATACCCAAAAGTCAATAAATCTGGGGGGTAATTGTGATATAGCGGTCTTATATAAAACCATCTGTGCTTGTATGGTCTCCCTAAATCCTAGAGCCAGCATGCTAACATGCTGCTGTTCATGCCATAAATCTGTTAAAGTAGCAAGCCAGAATTTACACAGACAAGATACTGCTTAGATTCTTCTTTTCCTGGCTATTTTAATGATGATATACTCGCACAGAGTTACATGTGAGAACTTATTAGCTGTTGTCATGCTAGAGGTCCCTTTAATCCATTTTGTTATTGCTCACTTGCTCTGTTCCCGTCTGTCCCTCCATCTGCCTGCATATCAGACGAGTGCTGCGGCAATGTTTCCTGGCCTGGAGGCAACTTCCATGTTTGCTGCGCAAGGAAAGAGAGAAGGACGAGCGGAGGGAGAAGCTGTGCCGCAAAGTGACTGAGGTTCTCCCGGATTTCTGCTCCCATCCACTGTAACGCCTCTGGGAAGACCGACAGAACGGGCAACGTACTGCATACTGATGCAGGCGACACGCAAACATCTCAGCATCACTCTGGAAGATGACACACTGCACACTTCTTACATTTATTTTATAAAATATTTTCACAGAAACACATAAATCAACCAGAGCAATTATTGGAATACAAAAAACAAACAAAAAACCCCCCAAAAAAACCCCTTTAATGCCTGTGAGAACCAAAAGCAGTGAAAAACTCATTTCTAACTGATGCCAAAACATATTGATTCATTTGCGTTTTCCATTTATCTAAGAGTTGTTCCATTTCTGAGTCAGTTTTGAAACGGATTAAAAGAGTCAAAGTAACCGTGTGGTAATAACTAAGCAATCAGCTGCTGTGGAACTTCAAATTAGCTGGCCTATCTGGCCTGTGCTAAAATGTTTCAATTAGTTGTGATAAATATCCATGAATTCGTTTCACAAGGCCAAGTAAGGTCAAGTGCAGTCTGTTTGTGAATGATGAAAAGGTTATAGTGAGCCCTAGAGAGCCTCCTTGAATATCCTATCTGTGCACTCAGAGGCATCATCTTGTGCTGTGTTCAGACAAAATGTCCCCACCAGGATCAGCAGATTGGAGTTATTGTCTCGCATCAAGGCACTACGAAGGAGGGGAGACATAAGGTCAGCCTTCAAGTCAAGGAAGACATCCAGCGTGAAGGACTAGTAATATTTGTTTGGCAGAGGTGACGTATATGACCAGCTGCATAGAGGAGATCCTGCATGTCCTTCACATTTATGGCAGTATGTGCATCTTATGGGCGTGAGTAGTTGTTATTGCTAAGTGTCAAAGTCAGTGCAACTCCATATGTTGCACGTTAAAAACGTAGCAGCTCTGAGGTTTGCTGCCAGCAGCACGTCCAATCAGTTAAAAGGAGTCATGCTGCCATCCAGTGGACACTAACACACCAGCAGCCACAATTCCCAAACTTTAAACAGCATTGCATCACAAGTCTCTCACACCAAGTCAGTGGGAGAGGGGGGAATCACTTTGTCTCCCATGCTCATGAACTCAGACCAGTTGCCACGGAAACCTCGGGAATAGGCGCCAGTGTTCACGACGAGTCCCCAGTAGGCGCTGCGAGCGGTTTTCTCTCGCAGGGCGATGCGGGCTTCGCGCTCGGTCACGTTGTAGCTGACGTTGATGAGCTGTATCGCCAGCAGGTGAAGCAACCCGCCCGTCACGATGCTGCTGTACCACGCACAGGTGAAGCAAAGAGCAGTGCTGGAACACAGACAAGGACGGAGGTAGTCAATTTTTTTCTTTTTTACCAGCAAAAGGGTTTTATTTTCATGCTCAGCCACTTTCAAAGATAAAATATTTAGTGTAACCAGTTTAAAAGGGTGTAAATGGACAGATCACAGTTAAAAGAACCAGTATTTTTACATATTGAGGGCATGATACTCATTCACAGTTTTTAACTCTGAGTTCAGTAGCAGTGCCAGTACTAGTCATTTGAACTACTTCACATGCATGCTCGTTGCTCTGAGCAAAAACTGTGAATCTTTCTCCAACAGCTTAATGGGCACTGCTTCAAGGTACTCTTGAAAGTGATTCAGTAGAGCGAAAAAAGCCAGACACTCAATATGCTCATGGAAGGTCCTCACTTACTTCTGGTAGTTCTGGGAAAAGTATTAAATGGCTGTGCAGTGGGTCAGTGAGGATCTTAATTGCTGCGAAAAAGGCTGTCAACCCTATTTTCTGTGGACTCTATCTCAGCTGTGGGTGTTTATTTAAGCACAAGTACTGACGCTGTGCAGTTAAGATGTTTAATTTTGTTCACAGGGTAACAATACAGAGGCTCCTAATTTTAATTAATAAGGCACTGTGAATACATATGTTGATTACATTACATTTTAAGGAAACCTGCCTGTAGAGCCTGATTTATTTATTATGCTCTTTCTAGTATAAATACTAGTACAGAGTATATAATCTGTTCCATTTGTTTGGGTACCTAGGGTTGCTAAGCATTTGACCTTGACATTCATCGTTAGGACACAAAGTCAAACCATATCGAGTAACAGATTATATGAGAGCTGTACAACACACTTTTTACGACATCACAATGACGCCATAACAGACTAATTCCATCATATTGGAATATGGACAACATACTGGAGATCAATGAGAAGGCGAATGAGGAAATAAATTACATGTATGATCACCTGTGATGAAATAATGAATTAAAAGTAAACTCAAACACTTCTTCTCATTCATTTTTAGTTCACTTCCATATTTTAGATCTCAGCATTAACCACCACAGGTCCACATGGTCACTGAACGTCATTATATACAAACCTTACTGAGCTGATTATAAACCTGTATTTACACAGATTTTTTTTTTTTTTACAGCAACACCAAGTCTTCTCTGCAAAAAAACAAAAAAGTTGATTTAAACTGTGTATTTCACAATAAAGCTGACGCCAAAGATAACACCGCCACTAGTGTAGTGTGGCTTATGGTAGTGGTATTATCCTTCCATTTGTCACCAGTGTTTCCTGATGTCTGTGGGGCAATGCCTTGTTTTCATTCTGGATTTGGTCTCTGTTTCAGAACCGTTACAGCCCTGATGCTAGTGCCAGAATTCAATTAGCTATGCATAAAAATTGGAAATCTTTACAGTTTCCAATCAATACACACATACATGCATAGTCATTTAAGGCTGCTCCCTTATTTCAAACAGTGAATGAATCTGAAAGTTACAACTTGGCACAGATTTGACACCAGATGTCCTTCCTGATGTAATGCCCATGTATCCTGGCTCGGTGGAGATGTTTGACCATAATGCACAGAAAAACCAAACACATCATATCAGCACAAAAGCTTTATGCTAACTATAAAGTGCAGTGGTGGAGGGAAAATGATTTGGGCTTGTTTTGTGGCCACAGAAACTGGACATGTTGCAGTCACTGATTTGACCGTGAAGTCCTCTGTGTACCAAAGTATTCTAGAGACAAATGTGAAGCCATCTTTCTGGCAGCTAAAGCTTGGTTTTAAACTGGGTCATGCAACAGGATGATGATCCAAAACACTGCAACAAATCTACAAGAGAATAGTTGAAAAATAAAAGAATAAAGGTGTTGCAATGACCCAGACCTCAAACTGACTGAAATGCTGTGGTGGGACCTTCACAGAGCTCTGCATTAATTAATTCCTGCAAACCTCAATGAACTGAAGTAATGTGGTAAAGAAGAATGTGCCAAAATTCCTTCACAGCAACATGATAAAGCCAAACAGAAAATACCACTTCAAAGTTCTGCTAATGGTGGTTCTACAAGCTCTTGATTAATGGGGTATACTTAGTTTTTGACAGAACTGTATGTCTGTTTCCACTACCTGTACTGGTTGTAGACTCCTGGGCAGTAGAGTAAGGCGAAGAGGAGATTTTGCCGTGGACACACACTCTGTAGCACCAGGCTGATTCCGTACAGGGACGTCAACAGGAAGAGGACGAGCGTGAGCAGAAAGCTGCGGTGATTGGCCTGCCCCACACAGCTGTTTATCCTGCCCCGACACAGACAGGAGGGGACGCACAAACACACGTGTACACACACAAGCAGACAAAACATTGTACTGAGACTCCAGGGTTACACTACACTACACACAAACATGCAGGAGCGTGCATGGTATAGAAGGATGGCAGCAAGGAAATTGTGACGTTAACACAACATAGAAAAAAATATGTTGAGCTAGACACAAGAGGACAAAGATATTCATTCTCTCTGAGCTCATTACCTGCAAAGACAGAGTAACTTAACTCTTATAAATTAAAGGTGTTATTTTAGATCTGCGTGGTCTTTGTGCAGAAAAGAAGCAGGTCACAAACAAGACAACTTCAGTGTTTGAAGGAGAAGAAAGCAGTGATGACAGGCAGGTCGAGTGAGAGGAATTTGAATGGAACCCACCAGACACAGTGGTGGTCGAGACGCAGCACGCAGACACCACAGATGCGACAATGCCCCGCCCTGGGGGGCCGCACCATCCTGCATGCCTGACACCAGTTCTTTCGGTTGCTTTCCTTCATTTCCTCCTCCGCATGCTCCGACACCCCAGCCCGGTTGGCTACAGTCATCGTCACATCCTGCCTCCCACCACTGAGGGAAGGGTTTCTGCCTGTGGGGGAGCTGTAATACACCACCTTGCTGTGAACGGACTCTTCGTTTGGGTGCAGGATGCCCGGATCTCTCTTGGTGTGGAAAAGAGCCAGCAGGGTGAGGACAACCCCGACGCTTACCAGCGCTAGCTGAAGCAGTCCAAAATCCCCACGTGGAAACACCTCAGTGATGAACAAGTAGTACATGTACGCCAAGGAGAAAAGGGCCAGGCTGAGGAAGAAGAGGGTCCGTCCTTTCTTACGGTGGGTGAAATAGTAGTACCACAGCACTAAGCCCGGCAGAGCTGTCAGAACCACCATCCCAATCAGGAAGTGGAGAGCAGCAAGGTGCAGCAGGGCAGGAAGGAGAAGAAGAGGAGGAATGATGGACAGGTCCACCTTGCGAGCTCCACCCCACAGCCACGGCACACGAATCCGATCTGTGACGACTGCAGCCACCTGTGACAGGGATTCAGGCTTCTGAGGTTCCCTCTTCAGAAACCTGATGAGGTAACGGAAAAGCTGTAATACTTTTTTTTAATTAAAGTAACCATGTAGGGAACTTACTAACATGTTTCAAGCACCCAAAATACAGACAGAGAACTCAAATACAAGTTATTCATTCATCATATTTTCATAATAAACAGCAGATTGCAATTACAATGTGATTTTTATACCCTGAGTGTCACTATGTGAAAAACCTGATATTGATGATACAATAAAGCATTCAGTCATCAGCAGGACTCATGCTTCTGACTACCAAATTAGTCGACTAATGGAACTATCAAGAGCCCAACATTTACTGACGTGACGGCAAATGAAGCATTTCTTATTGGGCCATAAAGCTGCAACAAGCACACACAAAACACACCTGAGGCCGAAAATTATAGGTCTTCCCCTCTCTTCTACGACGCTCCCAACAGGAATACAAAAAAGCTTCATATTACGAAATATCTCAGAATAAGTGGGCCTCAATGAAAATGTGATTTTAATGGGGTACAGTGTTGGGCAAGTTACCTTGAAAAAGTAATTAATTATAGTTACTAGTTACTTCTTCAAAAAAGTAACTGAGTTACAAGATTCTAAAAGTAATTAATTACTTGAAAAGTAACTATTGCATTACTTTAAAAAAAAAAGTTTAATCCTCTGGGGTCCAGGGTAGATTTGGCCATTTTTAACTACTTTTGATGTTTCCTCTACATTTCACCTTTAAAAACTATTTACTTTGCCTTGTTTGGCATCATTCTTTTCAGCGTGTATGAATTTACAGTTATGTTTTCATTTTGACATACTGTATTAACACAATTGATCTAAAATCAGACAAAAAACATAATATCAGAGTAGAAAAAGTTATATTTTTTACTGTAACAACCACAAACGTGTTTAATGAATCATATTTCATAACTTTAAATGCAAATATAAATTGTCAATTTTAAAATCATATGCACAGCTTTTGCAGCCGTTTACCTTTTACCCCTTTTTTTAATAACAATTTCAAACTATTTACATAACAATCAGCTGTTCTGCATTCAATAAGCTGGCGCACAAATTATTTGTGCCACTCCAAATATTTCTGTCCACTATAAAGGAGAACATCATAGCCCGATACCTGCAGGTCTGACAGCAGCAGGTGTATCACTCCTATTCTCTACCTGGAGACAGCAGTCGCCTCATTGTTCTGACACACAACACAAAACTACCCACAACACTACAGACTAACTACACAAGACAACACATTAACTACTTAACTAACTTTTCTGCTGTCTCTCTCTCTTTCTCTCTCTCACCATCACTCCTAAAACTTCCCCCTCTTCCTAAACAACCAAATGTCATGTTGCCATATCATTTTTTGATTGGTCGACATGGTGCATTTTTCCACCAACATGAAAGGGTAGAGGTTTTTTGTTGTTGTTTTTTTGGTCATAAGCAGAGAGTACTTGCTAGCTCTGTCCTAAACATGACAAAACTATTCAGGAACAAACACCGCGTATATTTTGTTTATCATGACTCTGGTTTTACGTGGCCTATCAACACAATTTAAAAACTGGTATATATCACCTTGTTGCTTTGTCATCTTAAAGTGGTCATGTGATTGGCTTACCGCGACTACTTCATTCTTCCTCAGTCAAACAGCAGCACTCATGCGATTGTTTTGCTCCCTTAGCTCCAGGTGTTGTGCCAAAAAGTGATCGTCAGGGAGAAAGTGATTGCCGTCCGCGGGAGCGCGCGGAGCTGCTTAACGCTGTAGCGCCCAGATTACTTACATAGACAGCTGCTTCCGTGCAACTGATATAAGGTGCAATAAGCTGAAGACAGCTTCAACCGTCTGTTTGTTGAAAAATAGTTTTCCTTGTTAGTAACTGTAACGGCGTTGTAACGATACTTATAGTGATTAGTTAGATTACTCGTTACTGAAAAAAGTAACTCCTTACTTCCATCACTGATGTGGTAGAAATAAAATTATCTGATATCTTTTGTTTTAGATAGACAGAACTAAGACAGTAGTTACATTTTTAAATTTACTTTCTGGGTTATAATTCTGTTAAAGCGTCTCTGTAAGAACAAGCAAGACAGTTTGTGCCCTTTGCACATATAATGCAAGCAGCAGCAGAGAATTACCAGCACTTTCAGCTGTTCTGTTATGTGATTGTAAATGATTTGGCACAGTGTTTAAACCAGATGGCCTTCGTGACACAGCCCTTCCATTTATCCGGGTTTTGGACTGGGCACTGGGAGTACACGTGTACATGTGACCCCATGACACTGGGTTAATGTCTCCTCCCAGTGTCAAACCAAGGATCTTTCACATAGAGTCACTGATCCCAGCACTGCTATATTAGAAGCTTTGGTATGAAAATGATGTGATTCTCTTTGGATTTTGCACCGCTGGTCAGACAAGTCCAGGAATTTGACCAAATTGTCTGATTTGTGTTTTGTTTTCTGTATATTATTTCTGCTGGTATAACAGATCTTTAAAGGTTGCTCCTTTTTATTTATAGTATTAGTATTATACGTTTTTTGTCTTGATTTAACTACAGTCTGTGTGTTTGTTGTAGTTATGTAGTTTTGTGAAAATCTCCTAAAGTCTGAACCAGTAACATTTCAACTGTGATGTTAAATTGTTACTAAATTTATAAAATCTAAAAAAAACATTAAAGAAACATGGACTTTAATCCTTAGCTGACTAACTTTTTTCATTCTCTCCTAAAAACTGATGATCTTTAGCAGGGCCTGTGATTGGCCAAAAACAGCTCAGAGGAGGGACAGGAGTCTAGTTCAGATCAATCGAATTACAATTCACCTAAAGACTATTATGGATTTTCATCGAAATACACCAAAAACAAGTTGTCTATCTTGCCTTAAATTGGGGCACAAAATTAAATCTCGCATTTCCCACCTGTCACAGGCGTCATCCAGGTCCTCACAGTCACAGCAGCAGGCTGCTACATGGCTGCGCTGTCCATGTCTGTTCATGTATTCGCAGCAGCACAAGACCGCCTCCTCCTCCAGCACCTTCTTGGCTTGCCTCTTCATTACAGAGAGCCCTGCAGCCTGTCAGAGGTTTTAAAACAGGTAATGAGTTCGAGGAAAGTGAAAAGTTGCAGATGATCAAAGGGAAGGGAAACGTATTAAGTGAAAATACCTTTACCTGATTTGCTTTCAGCTAATAATCATTTGAAAATACCACTTTGCTGAACTGACCTTTTCATGCAGCAGCTTACCAGACACTTGCATGCATTTTAGATGGTGGAGTGCTCTGAACAGATTTCCACAGCACTTTCACGTCACTTCCTGTCCTCACATCTGTCACACATCTGTCACCCTTTAATGATTTACAGCAAATGATCAGTCCCCCCACCCCCCGCACACTGGCTTGTTTATGTGGCACAGATGGATATGGATTTGGGTTGAGGTGGTGTCAGCAGTTATAGCAATGGCAGGTCTTAGGTGGCCTCTCAATCATGGCATGACAAAGTGGGGTTAATCCTTCAGCTGAGTTAAACCTCTATCTTTGGGAGGAATATGAATGAGCCTCTGATTAGCAATAAATCACAGAATGAAATTGTGTGTTATTATTAAAGCTCAGCCAGCAATCACGCTAATGTGTTAAAAAGGACATTCTGGGTCAGAAAAGGTTACCAGCATCTAATTAGGGTCCTTCCAGGCACCCTTGGATCTGTAAGATCCTAAAGAGAGGACAGATTGGGTTACATGTACTGATTAATGGGTGTGTGCTAGCACCAAACAGCACATCTGCTCCCTGACAAATAAAGAAAAATACTGCTGCAAGGGCTTACAGTGTGACTGTTGCACTCGGCAATTTTACAGCTGTGGTGTTTAATGCTTTGGCCAAAAAGCTTTTCAGGGCAAAGCACATCATTTTGCTTCAATATCTAGGAATTGCTGTCGTTTAGGATGGAAGACGTCACTTTTACAACTCTGATTATTAGCTGAAAGCAAATCAGCAACATTTTTCATAGTTAATAGTTCCAGATTGCAACTGTCGAGGATGCTTGCTTTACTTACTTTATATAATTTTGCTGTAAACACCATATTTGTCTGACACAATCGAGGCTCATTCTCATCCTAGGCCAAACTCTCAATTTGAATGTGAAAATAAACAGCATAAAATAACATTCTCATTTGACTATATACCAGAGCCAAAGAAGTGTGACAAGGAAACCTCCAACAATGTCTCAGTGTCTCAATGCCCGTTGCTGACAAAGAAATGAAGACAGACCGATATACAATCACTCCAACCGATATTTGGGGGACTCCAGTATCTGATATATTAGCTGATATATTGGGGGTTTTTTTCCACATACACACAAAACATAAACCAATGTACCTAACACTTGTTATGTGTACTTTTATGTGTATTTACTCGTTCACACTCTGCTTGGATCAGGGTTTGTTACTGCTTTCTTACCAGGTTTGTTACCTTGTTACCAGCAGTGCCCTCTAGTGGACAAACTATGCAACAGCAACAGTGATAACGTGCCTGAATGGTGTTTCTCCCATTTCTTCTTTACTTTTTTCATTTATCAGCTGTTATAAATGTTGATACGGAGAGATCTGCAAATTGATAATATCACGTAGTAATATCAACTGTTACGCTATCAGTATTTTGCACCAAAAGCATGCCAACAGCAGCTAATAGGGTAGTGGTTTACACATTTTCCTAACAGCAGCAGATTGAATTCCTAAGCTACTGAGCTTCTTTCTGCACAATTTCAGTCAAATGTTAAAAAATGACTGTAAAACACTGAGTACAGATGGATAAGGGTGGAAATTCAGATCATGTTGAGCTCTGTGGGTTTAGGGAGTCATCAACTAAATGGGATTTGCATCTAATTATTAAAATAATCCCAACATTTGGAACATTAGTTTGTTTACTTTTAAGCTCATGAAAATGGAGGGACTACATAAAAAAGGCTGCAAATCCTCAGTTTTAGTGCAGACTTTTATTCTAAACCCTTTCCGAAAGTCCACACTTTAATTACATTTTTCCCATTTCATTACAAATACATTTAACTGGTGTACAGCAGCAAAATTAGGAAGATTATGTCACTGTCCAAATGACTGTACATTAAAAGGCAGAGCTACACAGTTAAATTCCTGAAGCTTGTAAAGACATAAAAAGTACTTAAAGTGGCCTCACCTCCACTCAGTGCTCGGCAGAAAGCAGGATTTACAACATCAGTCTTTGTACATGTGCAAAGACTCAAATAGTAAATGGACTGGTACTTATATAGGACCTTTCTACTCAAGTTAAGATACTACACATCTCATTATCACAATCACCACTCAATCACAGCACTTTTATCTATGCCTAACATTTACATAGTTAAGCTCCCATGGATGTATCCAGACCAACGCATGTTCCCATGGCTTCCTACTGGTAGAAGACCACCTTTGCTTTTTTTTTTCCAGAGCAATAATATTCTCATACTTCCTAAAACGGGTCTGAATGTACCACTAGTGGTCAAGGAAGCTACACCTCGTTTGGAAGTCAGCCTCTTAGACACCTACACACCTGGTAACTGACCAACCAAGACACCATGCTAAACCTTCCAGGTGGAGGACCTAACAGCGGCTGGCTGTAGCTTAATATATACTTTATAGGTAGGATGACCAGATTTCCCACTTTACTATTCTTTCTCCCACCTCCCAATACTACATACTGAGGGAATGTCCCACATGTTGCTTTCTCACAAGAAACAAGGCTGTAAAAGAGATGTGCTGATCCACAGAACCATCCCTACAGAAACCCAAAAATGATTACCACGCAGAACAGCAGCTGCGATTACAGATAACCAAAAGTTACAACAATTGTAGTGGCATATAAAAAAACTACCTTTCAGGTTATTTGTAGCCTTACTGCAAACTCCTTACCCCACATTTAGTCAGCATATATAGAGACTATCGAGTGTTATAAACATGAACATTCTATAGAAAACCATTGAGACAAGTGTTACTTCACAAAACTGCTGATTGCTGCAACTTGTGTTATCAATGAAATTTTACTTAGGGTAGATGGGGAGCCAAGATGGCATTAGAATAACTAAATACACGCCTGCTTATGAATAATAAATTAACATCATCAGTTATTTTTTTCTGCAGCACACCTGCTCTAAACTATACCTTGCATAATAAACTTTTGTCCCAGTAACAGGATGCTGTGCTGACACATTCAGTAAAAATCAGTTTTTATTGGAGACGCTGTGACTTTAAACTCGACTGCATGTAAATATTAGGACTTCACCGTTTTCCCTGGCATTTAACCCAATGAATCCTGCAGCTTGTCGGTAACATAATTGCAGACTGCAGCTCACAGTTAACCGACGTTCAACCGACGTTTACCTGCCAACAAGCCGCCGTCTCACCGGAGCGACACACTGCGTCAAAGCAAGTTTCACGACCCGACAAACCCGGGTAAACATACCTGCACACGGGGCTGCTACATGCAGGTTTCACGACCCGACAAACCCGGGTAAACATACCTGCACACGGGGCTGCTACATGCCAGCCTCTAGAAATATCGACTGGAACGATTTTCCCCCGCCGTGCTTCTTAACGGAAGTCTCGGTCCCGGCAGCAGAGCTCGTATCCGGTGTTTCTGCCGCTAAATGCAAGTCGCGTGAAGTGACCGCGGAACGGCGGCAACTGCTGGGGCGGGGGCTGGGTTTGAGTATCCGGCTCGGCTGGTGCTTCCTGCAGGAGCCGGGGGGTGTCTTCTGCGTGGACGTCCAGGTTTCGGTACACAGAGAAGTCCTGCTTCCTCCTCTCCAAACTGGCTGAACTGTTTCTGTACTGACGTCACATGAAGTGGCTTTTCCCCGCCCAGCCTACTCCCACATGATGCTGCTACTGCTGCATGCACAGCTGTGCTCAGGTGAAGTGCTGGAAAAGCTGTGTACCAACACTCCATCAAAACAAACAGTCAGTTTAATGGTCTTTGTGAGAAGCTTCGTCCCGTTATAAATTCATTATAAGTAGCTTATCTTACTCTTGCACATTTGGTTATGCAAGAGAGATAATGCCAACATTTTTTTGGACTTTTATAACTTAAATCCGGGCATAATTGATGATTGTGGACATGGCAGTTTAGCACACGTGTGCTAAAAAGTGATTATATTAGATACATAGCCATCTGATTGCTTTTAATATAGTTTAGTTTCCATAGTGTAATTTTTCGGTTTAGTTTTAATTGTTATAAGTTCCAGTTTTAGTCTTTAATTATTACTGTATGGAGAGCATATGTCACAGGCAAGATTTAGGAAAATTGACTCAGTCTTGTAGACTCAAAATCTCAAGAACTAGTCCCATCAATGCCTCATCAGATAAGCTAATGTTTTAACATTAATCTCAGTTCCTTCACATGGACTCAAATTGCAACAAATACTAGGAATGACCCACCTACCTGAGCCTTAAATATTAGCCATCTGTGTACGTATCATATTGCATCATGGCTCATTGTCATATCAGAAATATATAACCAAAACAATGCACGCTGTCCATAGTCTGCTTTTTGAATACTTAAAGAGAAAACTAATTTAACATCAAATAATGCTTTTATTTGTATGTTTGTTTGGTGGGGTTCTTGTGCTTTTACATAAATGTTTTATATACTGATCTCTTTAGCATGCCTCAGGAAAGCCATCAGGTATAAAATTCTGAATTCAAACATGCAAATGGAAACATTCAAGTAGTAATTTCTTTTTCCTATAACTTAATACTACAAATTGACTATTAATGCTCATATAAGGATAACAGCAATCCTGCCATATGCAATATAAATGAGTCTCCTTGCAGTTTAGTCCCCGCTATCACTACTGTAAGTGAATACTACAGAGGAAATAGAATTTCCTTTGAGGATGAATTAGGACAGACTTGTGGTCAATAATTAAACACTCTCGATCATATTATGTTTCGCCTGTGACAAAATAATGGAGACACATTTGGCTTTAGTCCCATTTAATCTTTTGCTTCCCCCAGCAGAGCATCTATGCAGCTCCTACCAACACAATCTGTGTGTGTTTTGGTTTTGTTTGTTTGGGGGGTTTTTTAAAGAAAAAAAGTCTATATGGCAGTTCTGTCTTAGTTAAGTCAGATTCTTCCAAAGATAAATATCACTTTGTGCCAACACAGATCAGCCTTATACCAGGTTCCAAATCAATCACTGGTGAAACCGTTTGTTCCACTGGCACAACAAGAGAAAGCACCAAACTTGGAAATTAAGCTCATTATTTACACTGAGACATTATTTAGAAAAATCGTCATTAAGAGTTTAAATATAAACACTATTTATATTTTAAAGGTTTCCAGGAAAAGTCAAAACTTCTGGCAAAAGTAATATTTATTAAAATGATCAATGACAAGACAGCGACAACAATCAGGACCAAACACAGTCAAATTCAACGAAATTGATTTATACGTACAGGAAAATGGGAGTCTTCAAATTCAAGAATGACATGTGTAAACCTTAAGAATTAAAAAAATAAAATAAAATAAAATAGAACAAGCTTTCCTCTAGTGTTGACAGAGTGAGTTCACAGTACTGAGATAGTCCGAGCCAACACCTTCGCTGAAAGATCACCTCATCAAAAGCATTTTAAACTACAAAAATCGTACAGTTCTCTAAATTTGGATCAGTGCAGAGGAGAGAAAAAAAAAAAACCCCTGATTATACCTGAACAGGTGATGAGGATCAGTTCTGGTCTGCTTCATTTAAGGTCCAGGAGAGAACCACAGTGTAATCATTGAAATATCAGCAGGCCAGAATAACTGAAGTATACATGTACAAAATGATTCGAGACCACAGTGTGTAGATGATCCTTCAAGTCTGAGTCACTGATTAGCGGGATTTATTGGGGAGAGGAGCGTAAGTCAGCCTTACTCATAAGACTCATGCAAAAACGTAAATGTGTGCAAAAAGCTTAAATAATATTGACTCACATCCCAAAAATAAAACTAAAGTATTCACAACAGTTCATGTGGCACAAGGCTCATTAAAATAACCATGGAAGCTGCGGGAGCTGAGTGGTCCTCTGCAGAAATCTAAACCAGACTGGTGAAACATAATCCTCCTCCCAGCAGTCAGTCCGCAGCTTAGAAAACAAACAACATCCTGGCACCTGATACCTCACCACAGGCTTCGGGATGCATAACCACGAAGAAAACACGGCATGTGCCTGGGGATGCCCACATGGCAACATCTGTGGATAGCAGAGGTTCAGTGCTTCAGTGTCGTTTTACCCACAGGGACAGGTGCTTTGTAGTCACCAGGCGTGGCTGCGTCACTGCTGCGCTGCAGTGTGATTGGCTGTTGCAAAATTCTGTTGCAGCATCACCAGTGAAGTACGAAGCTGCAAGGAGAACACGTACAAGACCAGATGAACACCTGTGTTAGGCTTTGAGCTAACATAACAGACTGCCTGCCCCCCCCAAAAAAAACAAAAAAACAAATAAAAAAAACAAAAAACAGATGTGTTCATATTTCTTCCAACTCTTTAGGTTTATGGAGCCTAAATGTGAATCACTCTAAAAAGCTGTGTAAATCACAAGAGTGCCATGATATTAAAACTGTTCTATATTGTGTAAGTCTGCATTTAATGGAAGGAACAAAGACAACATTTATTTACATTTCTTAATACAGGACAAGATATGTTCAAGAGATCAGGCCATCCTTGTCAGATTCTTTAATTTTATAATGCTCCACATATTTTCGACGTCTGGAGTGAGAGCAGGCAAAGAGCTGCAGTCTCTCTGCTAGAATATCTGCAGAAAGTGGTTTGCTTATCCTGCTCATTTAGCAATATTGGTGCCTTCACAGATGGCCATAATTAATTACTCTTATCTCAACTCCACCACTATATATAGCTATTTAAATGTTTGAAGTTCTCACAAATTAAAAAAAAAAAAAAGCATATGTTTAGTAAACATGAATCCAAATGTCAGTCTGCCATTTTTCAGGATTTTGGTGCCGTATTGTTTGCAAAGATACGGGAGAACTGCAGTCAGGCTGAAAGACAACACTAAGAAACAGATAATTCCTTTCTTTCCTTACTCGTGCCAATGCCACGATGCTCTGCACTTTAACACAAGCACATGCTTTGCAATTTAAAACAGACCCCATCACAACAGAAACTCATTGAACTATATAAATGTCAGCTGTTAAATGTGCAGTTCAGTCTTGTCACTCAGGATTTTGAGTAAGTCACTGACAGGAAAAAAGGCCTTCGTAATATGCAAAAAATGAGCAAATCAAACCAAAACAGAACAAATCTAAACAAAGGAAAAATATTTACATTTGATTTTGTGATGAACTGGTCTTTTAAACAACCTACCTGTTCTAAGAGGTTAATGGAGTCCTGAAGTACATTTTTGAGTAAGCGCAGCTCCTCTGGAGACCTCAACGCTGCTCCCAGTTTGGATCCATACTCAGCAGCTAAGCTGTTAAATAACAAAAGGAGGAATTCATTCTCATGTGTAAGGTATTTTTGCTACAGAAGAACCAGAAACGGAAACGAAGTGAAGAATGTGAAAGAAGGCCACTGATGTCACTTACATAACACCAAAAATTCACAGAAGCAGACAGTTTGAACACTGAGTCATTAAAACAAGAGCTCTCTTGTGCTGTATGTGGGTTGCTTAAACGGCCAGACAAAACTGGAGGAAGACGAACCCCTTCCTCTTGTCCACCCACACTAAGACTTCTGCTTTCTGAGAGCTTGTGGCAACAGCTATTACAGGTACCATCTATGAACAGTCCTCGGTTATACGCAGGTCACAAAGAAGCAGTGGGAAGTCAACTGACCTGGCCTCGCTCCTCTCCCTCAGGCGATGCTTTGTAGTCAGATACATGCGCTGGGCCACATCCTCCATGGCCCACAGCTTAAAAAACAAGCCTAGATTCAGCATTGTCAGGATCAGCAGACTGTAAAAAAGGCAGAAGGTATTGAGTAATCTGACCAACAGAGCAGGCAGGCGGAAGTGACTAAAACTTTTTTTTTTGTAAGTCAAAACAAACAGTTATCTTTCTGTGTGTGTGTGGGGTAACTTACACCACACTCATCCCAGCCACTATCGTTGTGACATTCCATCGATACGGACCTTTCATATCTACAGGGCCTGAAATACAGCAGCAAACATCAACACAACAGTTTTTGACTAGCAGTCCTATGAGGATAATATTGCACTCAGAGCACGTCGCATTTGTCAAGACATTTCCTCTTAATGACAAGCAGTTTTTTGCTTGAGGTATAAAAGTTGCTGTTCTCTGAGCGTGTCAAAAGATTGTACCATAACTCTACTTAAGATGACACAGTTATAACAGGTTTGAGTCTTTCCTATTCAAAGTGTACAGTAAAAAGTGTATTAAATGTCTAAGCCCACATTAAGGATTACTTGAATCCAGTTTAGGCCATTACAATGAAAATATCAACTTTAAGTGTTTAATTCAAAGCCAAGCACAGTTATAATGATCCCACCACCCCATTTTCATAAACTGTAGTTTCATTATTAAAAAGGCGTCAGTACCCATGTTGCCTTCTCTGTGCTGCTCAGCGTGGTGCCTATACTGCTTTTTGGGCTTTGAATGCTCTGCCAGAGTCCGGCTGTAAGTCCGCCTCCTCCTGCGAAGCCCACCCATCTTCCCCGCCTCTCCACCTCCTTGGTTCATCTCTGCTTCCTCCTCCAGCAGTTCTGCTTCTGTGTTGTGTAATCACAGGGCAAAACCAAAAAATATATATAAATAAAAGGAAACAGGTGGGTTAACTCAGCAAAAGCAAAAGTAATCAGCATGAACGGCCTGGCCCGTTTATGGTCATGCCAAAACATCTCAACACTGTATTTTCCCAAATGTTTTTTGGCAGGTATGAGATGTGC